TTTTGTTGACCTTTGTCCATGGAAGGTCCCTGCAAAATTTCATTGAAATTGGTTCAGGGGTTTTGGAGAAGAAGTCGAAAATGTAAATTGTTTACGGACGCACGACGGACGACGACGGACAAAAGGCGATCGCAATAGGTCACTTGAGACTTTGTCTCAGGTGACCTAATAAAAACACACAAAGTTCTTTTAAACACTTGGAGCAAAAAAGGGCGTCATTCTGTCAACTAAATCAAATAAATAACACAATGAAGTACATTTATTTATTGTGCACAAAAAATTATCAATTCTGATGTCTAACTTTTTGTGAAAAGGACAAACCATATCACTGACTTTGTTCTCCATTGACTTCAGTGTGTACTCAATGGGACTATCCAGTGCAAATGTGACCGGTGAGCATGATTTTTTTATGTGTGCTATTTATAGCTACTCTACAACACACTATATGCAATGGAGGTGATACAATTTGTCATTTTCACAAAAATTTAGACAACCAAATTTCCATAGTTTTGTATACAATTGTATCTCATTGTATTTTTTATTTGATTATGTTGAAAGAATGACGTCCTTTTTTGTTCATAATGTGTAAAAGAATTTTGTGTGTTTTTATTTCACTTTATTACCCATTTCAGTAATAAAATTATTACGGAAATGGGTAACTGTTACCCGAATGCAGGATTATTACCCATATGGCCGTTGTGCCCAACCCGATGTATGCACATTGGAAATGTGACAATTACTCATTAAGCTAACAATCTACTGATAAACAAGAAATAGGTAAGCAAGTTACACCTGAGCCATGCACCTTACCAGAAGAATGCTTCATGTGAAATTTGTGTAGCAGAACTCAGGACTGGGTCGATTGTTGGCAGCCATAGAGTTCTGAGGGTCCCAGGTTTCGAACCATGGTCTGGCCGTTTCATTTCTCTTTCTCCTGTTACATCATTGGCGAGCTTGTTATCCCTTGTTTTAAGCATTGGCAAGGGGATAACCAAACCTTGGTTGTAAATAGTTTTGTCTTCGAGGTCAAGGAGGGAAGAATGTAGCAGAACTGGTAAGGGTCGATCGGTGGGGACCAGTTTTTGAGTGAGTTAGCTCAATTTGGTTGAGTATGCGTATAGAGTTAGGAGGGTCCCAGGTTCAGACCCATTTCTCTTTCTCTCGTTACATTTTGTCAGAACATTGTGACCCATATCTGTTACCAATGTTTTTCACATTTTCCATGGTATTCCTAGCACCTGGAGAACTCTACTCTACGGTCACTGAAATTCTAATATCACTGACAACATCTGTTTGAAATAATCCTTTCAAATATTTGAAACAATTTGTTAAATTAACTATAATTCTTGAATCACTAAATAATGCACAGTAAATATTGTAATAACGTACAGTCAGGGCATTCAGTTGACCATGGATATCAAACACTTTCATAAACCAAATTCATTTTCTTTGAATTTTGGAGAATCAAAACATGTCAAATAGATATGTCCTTTTACACCAAAGAGTCCAAGCTCATTTTGGAAAGTCAAAAAGAATCTCTCAAGGGTCTAATGACAGCCCCGACATACCTAATATTATATGTTAAGGTCTAATGAGATGGTTTTAATGAAATTTGTATTATTGACATTGAAATGTAGGCCTGGTCATCTTTTTAAAATCTAAAAACCCTGTTTTTTTCAGACCTTGCTGAACAGTTTCCATTTCCACCCAATTTGGAAAGACAGTAATACGATATCTCCTTTTCTGTCCTGTCTAACATCTTACAAAAATGGCTGCAATCAAAAGATTTTTTCAAAAGAGAAAACTTAATGTCACCTTTAAAAGAGCTGGAGATGGCCATCGTCTTAGTGAGGAGAGTCGGCCAACACCCCGTACAGTGACGAGGGAACCTGTCCAATCTGTGCCTCGACAAGAAACCTCCAGAGAAGCACAGAAGGCTGCTGAAGCTGCCTTGCTAAGAACTCAAGGTCAAAACACTAGGAAGTCAGGTATACCAGAAACAATGAATTATATAGCACGTCTGTCCCTTTACCTCGATTCTTGTCTGGACCACAACTGTTAACACAATATGAGCTTTTATATATCACGATTTGCATGAGTTTAATCAATGTCCTTTAACTGGGTCAAGCAAAGGGTCACAATTGAACCTGTGCAATAATTAGTCATATGTTTGCTGTTCCTTCAATCTAGTTTAATCTAGAATTTGTACTTTCAAATTTTTCAAGTTGTACAGATAACATGATAGGGCAGTACTTCCCAATAGATTGAGTCTCCCCACCCCCTCCAAAAATAATAATAATTGGCATTCAGTACTCAATTCTGCAATATAAAAATCACCCAAATAATTAGTTTGAGTGTGTAACAGTATAAAATTTTACTTCTTCAGCTGCAGTATCTCAGAGGGCTAAGATGAAGCAGGAGATGGAAGCTGAGCTCAGACAACAGGAACAGACCATAGCAGCGGGTGAGGCGGCTCGAGCTGGTCCAGCGAAGGTAGAGCTAGACAGTGCTCCTGTACTGTCCCATATTCTTTATACCTGTCCAGACATTGGCCCTGCAGTTCTTCCCAAGAATGAAATTTACAACTACATTGAAGAGTTCCTCTTAAAGCAAATCGGAGAGGAGCCAGAAATGACTTCTGCCCTAATGATTCATACACTCAACAAGGATAAAGAGAAAGTAGGAATTTGTATTGAAACTTTGGTTAAAATTCTAGGCAATATTATAGCAAATCCTGGTGAGGAGAAATATCGAAAGATCAGATTGACGACTAAAGCATTCACAGAGAAAATAGATCCGTTAAAGGGAAGTAACGAGTTCCTACAAGCCGCAGGTTTTCATATTGTGTCTCAGCTGGTGAATGGCACTGAGGAAAACTTTTATGTAATGGATGAAGTTATTGCACAGGATTCCGAGAGACTTACTGGCCTGAAAGAAGTGTTGTTAGCAGCAGAGCCAATCAAACCTCAACTGGACCGGGATTTGAAAGTGTACCACCCCTCGCAACAGGCTTCCAAATTCGACATTCCAAATGAATTCTATAACGTTAATCCTGAGGAGATCAAGAAAGAACATCAGCGACGGCAAGAAGCAGTTGAAAAACTTGGCATGTTACGCACCAAAGCCATGCGAGAAAGGGACGAATTACGGGAATTAAGAAAGTATCGCTTCACTCTTATTCGAGTCCGAATGACAGATGGTATGTTGTTGCAAGGAACATTTAAGGCACAAGAAAAAGTCTCTGCGTTATTCTCTTTTGTGAGAGAAAATTTAGCAACTGATTGGATACCGTTTCAGCTTTTGTCTGTTGGTCAGAAACTTGATGAAGATAACACATTTGCAGAGGCTGGATTAGTGCCTGCTGTGGTGGTGACCTTCACTTTGGACCAGACATTGGTGGCCGATCTCAAGGCTCAGCAGGGAGCTGGAGCAGGAAGTGCAATATTGAAGCCAGAAATTATGACTCTCGTAGCGACATTGTGATAAAGTTCAGGAGTGGAATATGAGAGTGTATTGGGATAGATATATATATATCGCTAGTAAAAGAAATATATGCCTTTGGTCATTCATATGTACTGCAATGGTTGTGTGGACCTATGGCATGAGTTTAAAAACATTCATGTTTGAAAAACATTTCCTGATAATGTAACGGTTTATGTGATAATTTAAAAAAAATGCTTACCAGTAGTATAATATAATATTTTTCTCCTCGCTATTCCCTCCTTTCCTCATTCGATCTGTCTTCACTTGATTGGCTTATATGCTCTAATGGATGTGCCTGTATGCACTCGGATCGTCTGATAGAGGAACATGTATGGTCTGACAGAGGAACCTGTATGGTCTGATAGAGGAACATGTATGGTCTGATAGAGGAACATGTATGGTCTGATAGAGGAACCTGTATGGTCTGATAGAGGAACCTGTATGGTCTGATAGAGGAACATGGATCGTCTGATAGAGGAACATGATCGTCTGATAGAGGAACATGGATCCTCTGATAGAGGAACATGGATCCTCTGATAGAGGAACATGGATCGTCTGATAGAGGAACATGGATCGTCTGATAGAGGAACATGTATGGTCTGATAGAGGAACATGTATGGTCTGATAGAGGAACATGGATGGTCTGACAGAGGAACATGGATGGTCTGATAGAGGAACATGTATGGTCTGACAGAGGAACATGGATCGTCTGTTAGAGGAACATGTATGGTCTGATAGAGGAACATGGATCGTCTGTTAGAGGAACATGTATGGTCTGATATAGGAACATGTATGGTCTGATAGAGGAACATGGATAGTCTGATAGAGGAACATGTATCGTCTGATAGAGGAACATGGATCGTCTGAAAGAGGATCATGGATCGTCTGATAGAGGAACATGGATCGTCTGATAGAGGAACATGTATCGACCCATGATTGATTTGTCCTCTAATAGAGGTATTTTTTTGTCCTGTCGGAACTAATTCTTTTTATGTAATGATTTAGCTTCAGTTGAAAGTCATTTACGTTCTTCAAAGGTGTTATAACCACAGCAATACAGTTTGGAAGGGGGCAATAATCGGAATCTGTCTGTTCCACTGTATTCCGTCCTTCTGAATGCAAGATCTTGCCCGTGTTAAGTCCTGGTTTCTGTATACAACCTTGTCTACTGTCTAGTCAATTTGTTCCTCTATCAAAATCAAATAGACATTCCACTTGTTATTTTCATTTTTTTCTTACATAAACTTTTAATGCATATATATTGAAAGAAAAGAATCACAGTACAAATGTAAAAATCTTAGATTTTACTTCATTATAATGTAATGGAACTGACAATATTTTCTATTTTCAATTTATTGCAGAAATTATTAAAGTAATAAGTAAGCCATTACTCCGTTTTGACGTCTTGCTCCTGAGGTCACAGGATTTGGGGTAACCCCAGTTTGTTAGCTGTATAGTGTATTAGTTGAAATATTTTGGAAGAGATGTGTAATTTAGTGAAGAAAGTAAAGTTATGTAACGTCAATATTGATTAAAATATTTCTGTAATACTCAATCACTAGATTTAACTATGTATGTTACTTGGTGATATTTTGACCAATTTTCTTGGAATTCAGGTTGTGTGTACACTGAACACATTAGACATAGGGAATTAGAGTTTCAGTAGTACATGTACAAGTTATATATAAACTTCATTTATTTTACAACAATTATGAAACAAGTTTTTACAACTTATACCAATCACTCTTGTTGGCCCGGATAACAGCGCGCGGGTGAACTTCTGTTGGAGAGTACCTGGAGAAAACTCACGTGGTCGGGCAGGTGACCCCATACCTTTTCACGTCTGTGTCTATTTGAAATGTGCATGTAAACATATCATAAACAGAGTATTGTCAGTGATATTTGTTTTTTAATTATTGTACAATTATGGAGATAAGCCTAGAATTGTGGATCAAAATGATTAATATCGCAAAATGACAAAATGTATCTCGGTGTAATTGATTGTTACTGTTACCCAGATACATACTAATTAGCCGCAGAAAAAGGAACATTCAGTGAAGGAAATAGAATTTTGCATTACGCCACACAAGATATTACCAGCTTCGATTTTGATATTTGAGTTATTAGGAAATGTTTTACTGGTACAATATATAAAGCTGTACATCTGTTAGCTTTTAGTCTAGACAACTCCTCCCTCTGTTTCCATCAGATAACCTTGAAACTTTGCAGGGTTGCATGACCACCACAATTTGTAATTGTACATGGGTACATTTGCGTATCCCGGTTGAAACGGTACGTGTGGCACAGAAATTTTCCACAATAAACGAACGCACTTGGACCGTTCTATAAGCAGAGCTAAAAATCCACAGTTTCGGAGAATAAAAAACAATGTATCAAGAATAGTATGCCCTTCGGTTTCTCTCACGCGACCACTAAATTACATAACGTATCTTAAAAATTACATGTGACTTGACATTGTTTAAGAAAGAAATAACGCAAATTGGCAATAGTCAGCATTTTAGTTTCGGTCAGATACGTCTGGACCCCTCAATCTACACGTACCAAATTTTCCCGAGGTCAGCCTCAGTCCAAATCTGTACCTGTCGTTTTCGTTACAGGTTCAACCGGTTCAACCGGATACGCAAATGTAGCCCAAGTGTACCACACATTACGGGAGACAATTTATTTTTAGAGTTATTGCCCTTTGTATTAAAAAGGTTTTAAATACCATTGTAGTCTCAGCTATTTTCTTGATTGTGTTTACAACCATTGTAAGTAATTGTGGGTATTTTTTAAATTATTATTTAATTGGTTATAAAAATGTATTGCCCTTTTGTATCAGTCATTGTTTAAGGAAGGTCAAGGAAGACCTTTACATTAAAGCAGTTAAATTTTAAAATGTGATTTTTATCCATTACTTTCAAAGTTGGTTGGCTTTACCATGATCATCCATTACACATTTGATTTTTTAAGGTTTAACAAATCCATCAGTGAAGTTTTCACCAAAAATGCAAGGACATTTCAAGTACCTGTGGTGTAGACCATCTTATTATATTTCTAATGTGTAAGAGTAATCTTCCTTAAATAGTTTTCATTAGCATCAATCATTTATTCCAGATTCACAGAAATTATAAAAGTATTTGGTACTTGTTCGTTAGCAACCACATCCAATTAGAAATTCATTGCCCTGCATGTTGTTTTTGTTGACCGTTATTGGTGGGGTTTTACGAGCAGAATGGTCTTTGAGGACATTATAGAAATCTGTTATTTCAGACGTTTCTTTATCAAGGAATTGTAGAAATCTTTTGTTGGTTCGTTAGTATTGCCTAATTTAAGTTAAAAGCGGTAATAAAATATACTATAGAAATATTCTGTTGACTAAATATTGTTGCCCTTTTTAAGTTTTGAGCAGTAATAAAGTTTTTGTAGAAAATCATTGTTGATTCCTGTTTTATTTCTTCTCATATTGAAATGGCTAGATTATTGTTTGGTTGATGTTATTAGCTTACCCGGTGAGCATATATGGTGGTGCTTTGTCCATCCTCTGATGTCGGTAGACTTTGGCAGTAACTGACATCTCCCATTGTGCAATATCCATCCAAATTTTGGTGCTACAATCCTCAAGTCATGGGGATCAAAAGCTCTGCTAATACAGAGGACTGAGGGGCCAGGTAAAAGGTGTCAAATTGACCAATTTGCTTTAAATGAAATCTCCCAATCTACTGATCAGATTTCAACCACATTGTCAAGGTGACCACATCATCATTATCACAGAATTAGTGTTTGGTCACACACCCGAGTGTTGTCAAGGTGACAACATCATCATTATCAAGGATTTAGTGTTTGGTCACACACCGAGTGTTGTCAAGGTGACCACATCATCATTATCACTGATTTAGTGTTTGGTCACACACCCGAGTGTTGTCAAGGTGACCACATCATCATTATCAAGGATTTAGTGTTTGGTCACACACCCGAGTGTTGTCAAGGTGACCGCATCATTACTATCAAGGAATTAGTGTTTGGTCACACACCTGAGTGTTGTCAAGGTGACCACATCATTATTATGAAGGAATTAGTGTTTAGTCACTCACCTTTCAAGGTCAAAGGTAACAACATGATTATTAATAAGAATTAGTGTTTGGTCACAAACCTGAGTGTTGTCAAAGATCCCCATGTGGTCACAAAGTCATGTCTATGAAAATCTGTCCAACAGCAGTAATAAAGTAGGTATTTGCTATCATCTAGTTTTTTTACATGTTTTTTAGATGTGTGTTTGCTATTATACTTATCATAATTTGTTAAATATTACAAAAACCCGTTACACCAGATCAAAACGAGACTTGAACATGACTGAAACCTCAGAAGAGTACATCCTTAAATCGGCGTATCAGAACTTGTTTTTTAAGTTTGAAATAGTTATTTTCAAAATAGCGGCCGTGGCAGCCAAACTGGATTTCTGATTGACCCGAAAAGTAACAACATTTTGTCAGAACCATGAGTCGATCATTCCTATGAAGTTTCAGTTCAATCGGCCTAGCAGAACTTGACTAAGTTTGAAATAGTTTTTCAAAATGGCGACAGTGGTGGCCATATTGGATTTCATATCGACCAAAAAAAGAACAAAATTTTGTCAGGACCATGAGTTGATCATTCCTATTAAGTTTCAGTTCATTCGGCCCAGTAGAACTTGATTTTAAGTTTGAAATAGTTTTTCAAAATGTTGGCATTGTCAGCCATATTGGATTTCTGATCGACCCGAAAAATAACAACACTTTGTCAGGACCATGAGTTGATCATTCCTACAAAGTTTCAGTTCAATCGGCCTAGCAGAACTTTACTTTAATTTTGAAATAATTTTCAAAATGGCGGCCGTGGCGGACATATTGGATTTCTGATCGACCCAAAAAAAAAAAAACTTGGTCAGTAGATGTCCGTAACCTTGCCATGAAATATTAATGAAATCTCTTTGCCATTATTTCAGCTTGAGTTGAAAATATAAAATATTAACACACGACGACGGATAGCAATAGGTCACTAATATGGAACACAAATACTGGTATTGAAGATTTATTTTAATGTGCTGTCTTTGTCAAAATCTTCTACTGACAATATACAAAAACAACTTCTTTTCAACATCACAATGTCATTCATCTATTACAGTTAAAATATGAATTTGATATCTACCTTATTTCAACATAAGCTGTTAGGTACCAAACACATGGTTCAGGTACCAATATCCATTTCTATTGTGAACGAATATGTATTTTGTAGAGACAGGATGACCCTATACCACCTGTACTATGGTGTTTAGGTTACACTATCACTCGGTATTTTCTGTAAAAGACTTGATTATCCTTCACAATTATATTGTCTTACTCATCCTACAAAAACTCAACCGAGGTAAAATTAACATAAAATATGAAATTAATAAACTGTATACTAACTAAACATATTATCATATACAGAAAAGAACACAATACAAAAATCTATAAGTCAATATATTAACATCCTCATTATGATTTCTTCATTGTCAAATAAATAGATTCTAATCAAACACAATGGGCCCAAAGATGATCAGCCGATTAATGTGGCCTTTGTATAAAAAAACTTTGTATCACTCCATCCCAAATATTACTACCCTAAGTCTTTTGGTTCTGCAGAGGAAGTCATTTTAGGATTTGATTTTAACAAATTAGACCCTTATGACCTTAAATGTATGTCCTAGTTATTTCTATTCACAAATTTTGTACCCTCTACTTCATTGAGCTATCAGTCAAATATGATTCTTGATCTTTTCATTATTTTGAAGAAACTTTAGTGTTTTCAAACATAGGACTCCAGTAACCATGAAAAAGGGTCATGGTTATTTCTTTTCTCCAACTTTGTTGCATTCCAACAAGCTACACGCTAACAATAACCATTCTAGACGTTTTGGTTCTTCAGAAAACATTTGAGAGTGTAAGCAAGTTTGACCCCAGTGACCTTGTATATGGGTCAACATTATTTCCTTTTCAAAACTTTGAAGCACCAATTCCCAGCAACCTTCTGGCGGTCTCATTACCCTGATTTTGTTTAGGTATTTTAGAAGAATTTGTGTATTTTAACAGAATTGACCCCTGTAACCTTGAATATAAGTCAAGGATATTTCTTTTCACAAACTTTGTAGCACTCCATAAGCAAGCTACAGATCAAATCTAGATTTTTCGGTTATTCAAAACCAATTGTTTTAACACATTGGACACCTGTGACCTTTAATAAAGGGCAATTACATTCTTTCTGCAAATTTTGTAGCACTTCACGCTAAACAAAATACATGTACTAGCAAAATACCATAACTCTAAGTATTTCTGTTCATCAGAAGAATTCTTTTTAGGAGTTTTGACAAATTTGACCTTGAATAAAGGTATTAAAAGGTAATATATTTTTTTCAGTATTTTTAGCGCTCAATGCCGGCAACTAACTGGCCAAAAATAAGGACTCTTTCTGTTTTTCATTAGACATTGTTAGTGTTTTAACAAATGTGACCCCTATGACCTTGAAATGTCTTTCATTTCTGCAGAATATTTGTAGCACTCAATGTCTGCATGTGTCTGGCCAAATATCAGTACTCTAGGCGTACCTGTTCTTCAGAAAAAGATGTTTGAGTGTTTTAAGATTCAAATATTGCACAATGCATTGCAGAGTGCCCCCTCTTATCCATTAGAATGACTTTAAAATGACTGTCAACCTTGAAAATAAATGACACAAATAAACAAGTAATAAAACAAGACATTTAGTTATCACAAGGAAAATAAATGTTAATTCTCCATTCCTTTTAAAGGCGACATTCTCTTAAACAAGTAAGGTTTTGAGCAACAGTCACTGATTATCTAATCTCATCTCCTCCGTTTGATCCTCTTGGCGATACTATCTACTGATCCAGAGCCAGTGGATCTCTTCCTCTTCAAGTTTGTGGTTTGATTCCCCTTTTTGTCATGTTTTTCGGGTCTTTTGTCCTCTTCTTCATTTCTGTACATCAAATATATGACTTAAAATAAATCGTTATGTATGGGTAGATTTTCCATTCATTTTTCTATGTACACAGAAATATTTTCAAAAGAATCAAACCAAAGTGTTCATTCGTTTTAATTGTCTAAATGCATGAATTTTCACCAAGTTTCAGAAATATCTGATAACTCATTTGAAGGTTATTTATAAGCCACAATCATCTTGTGCCATGATACTGAACTATGTGTCTTTAAATTAAGCTATAAGTGAAGCTATAAGTGAAGATCTTACCCTGCTCCTCGGACTCGTTCAGATCGTCTTCTGGTCCCAATCTGGATAACAATAATGGAAATCAATAACAGGATCTCACCCCAGGGACTAAGTCATCAGGGACAGGGATAAACCCCAGAGCCAATCATTGTAGCATTTGTGCACTCCAAACACAGAAATGGTATACTGTTATATGGTTACAGGGTGAGGACCTCAACTTGTTTTGAAGCATGAGTGTATATTTCCCGTCATCTCCGGCACTATATTATTATAGGGTGGGGATCTTAATTGTTCTCCCAGCTTTAAGTCACGGACTAAATTTCATAGAATATTGGACTTAGTTTAGAACATTACCAAACCTGAATACATATCTATAGTGGATTATGGACACAGTGCAGTGGATTATTGGACAAGGTCTTAAATGTATTACGGTACAGGTTAGAGGATTATCGGACACATAGATTAGTCAATTATTAAACACACAAAATAAACAATTATATCAGCCACTGCATGACATTACCACTATTACTGACCAAGTTCAGATGGCAATCATATCGGTTATGAATGCTATGACCTAATTGTTGATTTCGTCATTATCATAACATCTTAATTGAAATATGTCATATAAGCCCCGTCTCTTTATTTGTTATTTCAAGCTGGCATTCCTATTGACAATGACTATCAACTTTAACAGTTTAATGCTTACAAAGGACTCCGAGTAGAGTGGAATATCAGTGATCTTACCTTCATGGTCACAGGAGGGGAGACCCAGAGGATAGAGGATTCCCCACTGCCTGTGGATGTGCCACTTTCGACCGAGAGCCCTGACATGTGACGTGCCCGTAGGGAAGAGGGCACAGCTTCTGTGGCAAACACTGGCATTACCTCCGCCTCCTCACCACACTCACGGACTGACATGTTCGCCTCTGCCTCTTTAGGTACAGCAGCCTGGGACAGAGCGGGCCAGTCAGAGACCTGACACGGGCCAATGTCATCCTGGTCGTCTTCAGAAAATGTATCTGTAAAAAAAACCCATCAATATTAATAGTAACGTTACTGCAAGTTAAGGAAATTTATTTGTTAAACTAGAAAATGTAAGACAGGTTATGTTCCTGTTTGTGCCCGCTCCCGTGCAAATTAGGGCGAAAATAAATATATATGAATAATAATGGTGACCTTGATATTCAGAGTATTGACTTTGAATAAATTTTGATGAAAAATCTGTTATTTAAATTAAATAACAAACTTTGATGAAATTCTGTTTAAAAGAAATGAAGTTAGTAGAGTCGTGAATATGAATCACAAAGTGAATACTCCCCACACTTTTCTAAAATGGATGGGACAAAACAAACGCTAGACGATAGGCAATGGTTGTTACATATTTTCCTATCTACGTATTGAAATTCGACCTGCCAAATTCCACAGATGAGGAAAAAAGATCAAACAGGCTGAAAATCAGTCTAAACAAAGGCCACTTAAAGTCTGTCTTTTAACAGAATATTAGTTATGCATTAAGAAATATGTTTGGATGTTGTTGAAAATTATACTTTTAGACTTATACATTTTTGATCACTTCTACAAAACAGAAACATAATGTATATATATTATAGCAAATTTTTGTTGTTTACATGTCTAATAAACTGTTGTCAAGGAATAGTATTGCCCTAGACATTGGTTTTCATCTATCGTTAGTTTTCACTTCTGCAAAAAGTGAATTGTACTACAGATTACATGCAACTATAGTGCTTCTGTAAATGAATTAATTCTTAACATTTAAAACAAATTACCTATTGATGAGTTAATTTTCCGAAAGAGCAGATCCTCTGTGTCACTACCACACTCGCTGTCCTCCACGAAGAGTGCACACTTTCCCGGGGAGGGAGGGACAATCAGATCCCCAGGAACCTTCGGACTCTTGAATGGGGAGCACCCAAGGCCAGCCACTTTTGTAGGAGAAGGTGTTGATGTGACATAATTTGTATGTATTCGTCTCCTTGCTTTCTTTGGCGTCTTTTTATTAGACTTTCCTGATAAACCTGTTTCTGTATTTGGCAATGAGTGACTAGTTGAGGAATTACTGTCAATACCTGAATTACTTCCTGTTCGGGAGTTCGTCATGTGACATGACGAGGATCTCATATCTATATTTGGACTACTGGCGTTTCTGTCTATACCTAGTTTACTTCCTAATTCAGAGTTTGTCACACTACACGACGAGGAACTTGCTGCTATATCTGGGAGTGAAGTACTAGTAGAGTTCCCGTCATCACTTAATTCACTTCCTGTTTCAGTGACATTACCACCTATAACAACTGTAGCCACTGCAACAGGCTGTGTAACATTTTCATCGCCACATGTCTTCGTTGGAGATTGAAGTAGACTTTTCTTAGCTCTGTGAGTTTGCTTCGCCTTAGTTTTATGATTTTTCCTGGCTGCTTTCATCAGGTCATCAAACTGAGACTTGTGTGTCTTTTCTGGTCGAAGTACAAAATCAGCAAATTATCATCAATGTTTACGAAAAGTATCATAAAACAAACGTACAATGACAAAAAATTTAATCATACCACACTTTATAAATAAAATGTATATATTTCTATTTATTTTTAATTTTATTCAAAATTTCGGACAATGGGGCTTTCAGATGATTGCCTTTCCTTACTATACAGAGTTATACCACACATGTAAAAAGTCAAAACCGTTTAACAGTAACAACACCTAAAGGTAACAGTGTTTCCATCAAACCATACTTACTGTAAGTTTGCAGAGCATTTTCAATTGTAGCAGGGGAACTGTTCTTTTCAATATTCACCCTCTAGAAGGAAAATGAAATTGTAATTCACACAGGTATCCAAAATGATGGTAATTTTTTTAGAGAACAAAGAAAATCTATCTTTCTGAAAAAAGAGCATATCTGACCTCAAAGACTTTCAATAGTAATAAAACAATGCAATGACCTAAAGAGAGGCTATGATTGTACAATATCTATACAAACCAGAGCTATAATTGTAAGAATGGCAAACTATTTATACAAATGATGAGCTAGCGGTACAATGCTTCGAGATGGAAATAGAGAAAAATATTTCAATTATCTGTACATTAAGGCAGGGAGGTTTTGATTCCAGATGCATACTTTTTCAATAACAGACTTCACTAATTAGCGAACAGATAAATGCATCAATCTGTTGTTTACAGGATATTGTGGATACAGTCTATAGTGATAAGGTTATTATAAGTAGAGTACCTGTTTACGTAAACTGATGGAACTTCCTGCTAGCTTTGCCTTTTCTATTGCTTCAAGTTCTGTTATCAGCTGTTCAACTGAAAAAATAATGGAAGTGCTCATCAGAAGTATGAACCTAACCTGTCCAAGTGTGTAAGACAAAGTGCCTCAGATAATACAAAGCTCACTGCTGATTACTTCAAGTTGACGAGTGACATTGTTTTTAGTAAAGGACTTGTTTAGAATTCATAAGGCATCACTGATTAATACTGACCCCCATCATCTGTGGCTTATATTTTGGAAATGTTAGTGAAAATCCACCATTGACCTTGGACAGTTTTAACAGTTTTCGTCCCTGACACTCAGTCCAATTTTGGGGTAAGCCATTTTTTGGGTACATTTTCTGACCTCTATCAAAGGCTGAAGGTTACCACGAAGTTTCATCTTCTGAGAAGTGAAAAACTGTTATTGTTTATGCGTTAAACACCATAGATGGCTTGGGATTGAAGAAAGGAAACCACCTTAGATCACATTAGTGCCTCAGAAAATCTAAAGAAGCCCTTTTTACATTAGAAATGGGATTGTTATCGGACCCCTTTACATATACAAATCAAAACTGTAGTATTTTGACAGTATATCTCCCTTGGTCTATTTCAAGCAAGAAATTTGAGACTTTTTTGATAGTTCTGAAACTGAACATATTCACCGACACACAGATGGACCAACAGACTTTAATAGAGACATGACGACACGATAACTATAGATAGACTGCTCACATTCCTGGTATAGGAAGTGATGTTATCAGACACTGCTCACATTCCGGGTATAGGAAGTGATGTTATCAGACACTGCTCCCATTCCTGGTATAGGAAGTGATGTTATCAGACACTGGTCACATTCCTGGTATAGGAAGTGATGTCATCAGACACTGCTAACATTCCTGGTATAGGAAGTGATGATATCAGACACTGCTCACATTCCTGGTATAGGAGGTGATGTTATCAGACACTGGTCACATTCCTGGTATAGGAAGTGATGTTATCAGACACTGGTCACATTCCTGGTATAGGAAGTGATGTTATCAGACACTGGTCACATTCCTGGTATAGGAAGTGATGTCATCAGACACTGCTAACATTCCTGGTATAGGAAGTGATGATATCAGAAGCTGCTCACATTCCTGGTATAGGAAGTGATCTCATCAGACACTGCTCACATTCCTGGTATAGGAGGTGATGTTATCAGACACTGGTCACATTCCTGGTATAGGAAGTGATGTTATCAGACACTGGTCACATTCCTGGTATAGGAAGTGATGTTATCAGACACTGGTCACATTCCTGGTATAGGAAGTGATGTCATCAGACACTGCTCACATTCCTGGTATAGGAGGTGATGTTATCAGACACTGCTCACATTCCGGGTATAGGAAGCGCAGACATCAGACACTGCTCACATTCCTGGTATAGGAGGTGATGTTATCAGACACTGCTCACATTCCGGGTATAGGAAGTGATGTTATCAGACACTGCTCCCATTCCTGGTATAGGAAGTGATGTTATCAGACACTGGTCACATTCCTGGTATAGGAAGTGATGTTATCAGACACTGCTCCCATTCCTGGTATAGGAAGTGATGTTATCAGACACTGCTCACATTCCTAGTATAGGAAGTGATGTCATCAGCCACTGCTCACATTCCTGGTATAGGAAGTGATATTATCAGACACTGCTCACATTCCTGGTATAGGAGGTGATGTTATCAGACACTGGTCACATTCCTGGTATAGGAAGTGATGTCATCAGACACTGCTCACATTCCTGGTATAGGAGGTGATGTTATCAGACACTGGTCACATTCCTGGTATAGGAAGTGATGTTATCAGACACTGCTCACATTCCTGGTATAGGAAGTGATGATATCAGAATCTGCTCACATTCCTGGTATAGGAAGTGATGTTTATTATACATAGACAGACAGCTATAAACTCTGTTCCTGGAAGCATACCTGGCCTTGGATTGAGGTCATCACATTCTGCATTGTACGTCAGCACAAAATTATGGTGTCGCTTGATCAGTGTCTGAAACAGCAAGCCAATATAAAACCATATATTAAAGGGTACCTGATTCTATACTTACACTCCTATTAATGCTGATAACACTGATTCTGTTATTTCCCAGTGCAGTTTCAGACCATTGCCAACAGCTATTACTTCTCATCGTGTCATGATTTATGACAAATACATAATAACAGTGTTATTTTAACATAAGCTCATAGTATTTGAAACCTGCATGAATGATACATAAGACTGCAACAATTAATTTGCTGTTCATGCCAAAATACACGAAACATTAACACTATAAACAGAAAGACCTAGATAAAATAAGTATAAATTTATGTCATCGAGAAACATAGGATAAGATAAAAGAGGGCTAAGGCCAGCATCCAACATACATCTATGTATGTAAGTTTTGTTGTCTTGATAAAGTGTGCAAAAATAATAATTTTCTGAAGTATGAACTTTAAGATGTTTAGTACCTGTGAGTAGTTATGCAGTGTAACCCGTTTACCAGTATATTACTGTATTGACTATACCAAGGTATGAAACATCCAAAGGTATGTAGTGTGGTGTACATGTGAGGCTGTGGACTTCCACGCTTGGCAATCTTGGCAAGTTGAAAATATTTTCTGAAGTTATTAATAGTCACGTTGCGAAATTGATATACTGATGTACATTCATGTTCAACCATCATACAGTGTCAATATAAGATTTTAGCATACTGCATGTATATTTACCTGCTTATCTCCCTTGTTTGAAAGACCCTCTTCTTTGAGTTTTTTGCGTAAATCCCGTTCCGACATTATATTGTATACCAACTTTGCCATGTATTTCCTTTTTGGTGTTGACCTGTAAAAATAAATTTGAGTTTTTGTTTTCAATACATGCATTCATTGTAAAATGTCATTAATCAGCAATGACAAAAATATCCATTAATTGTGACAAATCATCTTTTAGCATCGACACAAATATTGATTGTGACATGTCAATCTGTACCCGATTCAATGTTTACTGTTGTATTCAACTTGAAGACTTAGATTACTGTCAAAATAGCAAAAATAAAATGATCAAAAATAACAATTCATTTTACATGTATGTATATTATAATATATTGTATTTTTCTTTGTTTTTGTTTTGGCAGAGCTGTTTGCGAATTGATCACTCTATTTGACCCATACAGTGCAGACGTGTAACTTTTCATATTAAAGTGTAAAGCTTATGATGTAGCAATATCACAATGGATACAGCTACTTCAGACTTATAACCCACATACATGAACACTCTCATAAACTTTTTTTTAAAGATATATCTCATTATAATCTGATTTCTGTAACCAGTTCCATATGACAATAGTTGTAAGTATTACCGTCGAAGAGAGGATTTCTTCTCCGCACTGGCCAAACACTGGTCAAGGTGTCTGTTGATCACCTGGTTGTGTACTTCCACACCACATACTGGACATGGCACTAGGGAGAAACAGTAAGATATTTCACAGTTGATTGTTGTAATACCTTGTTTATAACACCAGACTTTTTTTCAGCAAATTAAGTGACAGCACATCTGTCTAAATCTAACAGCTATAGTCTATATTTAGGTAACTAATCTCTACAAAGTAAGCAACAGATAGACACATACAAATAATAACAGAAGATTCAAAGTAGATCTTTCTGAATAAAACTTTTTTCAAACTTTACAAGTTGGATAATTACTTTTAGCCCCAGTGTAATCGGTAGTTTCGTCGAGAGGCGCCGATTCCTCGTGACCCTCCTCCTCCTCGCCGAGAGAGAGTGACTCGGTAGTGTCCAGTGACATTGCTGTTAATACAGGCATTGCTTTGTCACTCGTCTCCTCACAGACACCCGCTAACAGATCATTGTTTTCTTTGTCACTCGTCTCCTCACAGACACCTGCTAACAGATCATTGTTTTCTTTGTCAATCGTACCACTTCTCAGACTGTCAGTGGAGACATCACCTTCCCCTACTCTCTCAACATCTGTCACACGCTTGGAGACATCAGTGTTCCCATCTCCTTTCTGAGGCCTAATAGAAGGTCCAGCTATATTATGATCGACACTCTGTCGAGTTCTTTTTCTCGACTTGCTTGACACGTTGACTGTTGTTGCTGCTTCCTTCACACTACCAAGCTCAATAGGCAGTACCGGTGGTTTGTCCGTTGAGGCATCTTTTGAACTGGTTTTGTGCTGATCTTTGTCTTCTAAGTTAAGAAGACTTGAGTTTCTCAAACAGTCTTCAAAATCTTCTTCCTCTGTGGACATTATAATTGTTGAAGCTGCTACGGCAGCAGCTCGTGTGCGACTGTTTCTCTTTGGTGAAAATATATCCAGGATGAGTTTATCCCCCTGTAAGTCAAAGAAACTGTCATTTAATTATGTTTTATGTTGGAGGAAAAGTAATAACTGATTATGCAGCAGTTTAGTAACAATTTTTGGAGCGAAACAAAAAATTTCTGGACAAAATACCACATATTTCACTTGCCATACCTTCAAACATTTTACAGTGTCATTGGTTCAAAGCAAAAATTTGTCACTGAAATTCTTATGGTGTTACCTTAAAATTTTGTGTTTTCTTCTTCATTCGGGTAAACCTGCCAGAAAGCTGTTTCCTTTCTTTGTCTTGGGGTTTGTTATCCTTGACCACATCTTTGTCCAGAGACACCTGATGCAGTTTGTCAGTCTGAACCGTGTCCTTTTTCTGTGAGAAAACTGCCTGTAACTTGTCATCCTGTACAGTTTCCTTGGGACTCTTCACCTTGTTGTGTGGCCCAGACTCTAATTTACCGTCAGACTTCCACTCTGAATCCCTGTAAAACAAACATGAACTATATACATCAGGGAGACTTTGTCAGCATTGTACATAAGTCAGAGGTGTCATCATATAATTGATCCAAATATCTTCCTGAAAGATGTTTTGCATGGATTTTTGTTTTGTTTGGATAAGCGAACCATGTCACAGTAAGTACGCTCATGAAATATGACATACTATACAGGTAATATACTGTACTAAACAGGTAATATAATATACTATACATGTAATATGACATACTATACAGGTAATATACTGTACTAAACAGGTGATATGACATACTATACAGGTAATATAATGTACTAAACAGGTAATATAATATACTCTACAGGTAATATACTGTACTATATATTAGTCTATAATATAATTTACTATGTACATGTATTTATAATGTACATGTAATATAGAAAACGAATTCTATAAGGGCTATATTCATTATGTTCTATACACAAGTAATATTTGTCATGTTCCTGATTATATTTATCTAAAATGTAATTCATGATGATACATATGCTGTGTATATTACAAACTGGACATACACAATATTTAAGACAATGTCATCTATTAGACTACCTCTTCATTATACATGTCATCTATTAGACTACCTCTTTATTATACATGTCATCTACGAGACTACCTCTTTATTATACATACCTGACCGACATAAAATGCTGGACAATGTCATTTACTAGACTACCTCTTTATTATACATACCTGACCGACATAAAATGCTGGACAATGTAATCTACTAGACTTCCTTTTTATTATACATCCCTGACCGACACAAAATGCTGGACAATGTCAGCTACGAGACTACCTCTTTATTATACATACCTGGCCGACACAAAATGCTGGACAATGTTATCTACGAGACTACCTCTTTATTATACATACCTGACCGACACAAAATGCTGGACAATGTCATCTACTAGCCTGTTATTCTTAAGATCAGCTTCATATGTCGGCTGTAAAAACAAGACACAACTAGAAAACTTTAACTACAATATACTGGGCCATTATATTTAACTGTGTGAAAGAATACAATTTTATCATTGATCCAAGGACCCCTTTTATAATTTCTAATATCAAAACATGTCAACATATCTAAAATATAATATCCTACTTGCTTAACCTAATCAACATATTGTATTTGTATATTTCATGGTGGTATAACATGCAAGAGAAAATATAGGCGAAGTCATTAACCCTTTCCCACCTATGTAACTAGTAGACACTGGCAGGTATTGATATGAGTCCATTATGGTCTACAGTGGTGAAAGAGTTAATGACGGCCGCTTATCAATACACACCAAAATTATTTTGACAAATACTCACAACATTACAAACTGGACAAACGTTTTTGTAGGACAGGTATTTTCTGATGCACAGCGAACAGACTGAAAGATTGAAAAATATTGACAATTATACACATATATTAACACAGGTACCATGTCTACATAGGGACTACAAATACAGACAAAGCTTAACAAATTTTCTGATAAAAAATATCCAAGTAGTTGACTTAACAAAGTTCCCTATACTAAAAAAAACAACACATTTGTATATTTTCACAAATAACAAGAGGCCCAGAGGGCCTGTATCGCTCTTAGCAATCATGGCAAAATATTCTCCAAATGAGATCCAAGGAATTATGCCAGACCCCAAGGCCAATCCTTGTAGCATATCTGTATTTGATTTTTTATGTCCAGCAATTTTATGTATGGTTATGGGGTGGGGATCTCAACTGTTCCCAAGCTGTGACTCAGAAACTAGGTCACTAGGGTTGTGGCCAGACCCCAGGATCAATTCTAATATCATGACTGCATTTGTCTCTTTTTGCCCAGCATTTGTATATATAGTTTTGGGTTGGGGATCTTAACCGTTTCAAAGTTATGACCCAGGGACTACGTCTCAAAGGGTGGGGCCAGACCCTAGGGCAAGCCTGGAAGCAAATGTGCATTCCTCTTTTTATACTCAGCAATTGTATATATGGTTATATGGTGGGGATCTTAACCATTTCCAAGTAATATTTTTTTTTTGGCCCCAACCCTTAGCCCCGGGGGTCAGCCCCACCATTTGTACAATTTTGAATCCCCACCACCTAGGGATGCTTCCAGTCAAATATGGTTAATATCCATCTTTTAGTTCCAGAGGAGATGGCGCTTAAAGCAATATAGCTATATTACTCCCTTTTCGCCCCGCCCCTCAGCCCCACGGCGCCCCCACCATTTGTACAATTTTGAATCCACACCACCTAGTGATGCTTCCAGTCAAATATGGTTAATATCCATCTTTTAGTTCCAGAGGAGATGTCGCTTATAGCAATATAGCTATATTACCCCCTTTTCGCCCCGCCCCTCCGCACCACGGTGCCCCCACCATTTGTACAATTTTGAACCCACACCACCTAGGGATGCTTCCAGTCAAATATGGTTAATATCCATCTTTTAGTTCCAGAGGAGATGTCGCTTAAAGCAATATAGCTATATTACCCCCTTTTCGCCCCGCCCCTCAGCCCCACGGTGCACCCACCATTTGTACAATTTTGAGTCCACACCACCTAGGGATGCTTCCAGTCAAATATGGTTAATATCCATCTTTTAGTTCCAGAGGAGATGGCGCTTAAAGCAATATAGCTATATTACCCCCTTTTCGCCCCGCCCCTCCGCACCACGGTGCCCCCACCATTTGTACAATTTTGAGTCCACACCACCTAGGGATGCTTCCAGTCAAATATGGTTAATATCCATCTTTTAGTTCCAGAGGAGATGTCGCTTAAAGCAATATAGCTATATTACCCCCTTTTCGCCCCGCCCCTCAGCCCCACGGTGCCCCCACCATTTGTACAATTTTGAATCCTCACCACCTAGGGATGATTCCAGTCAAATTTAGTTAAATTCCAATCAGTGGTTAAGAAGAAGAAGTTGTTTAAAGAAATTGTTGACGGACGGACGACGGACGATGGACGCCACAGTATGGCATAAGCTCACCTTGGTCCTTCGGACCCGGTGAGCTAATAATTACTTATAAGTATGTGAACAATTTACTGATCATCAAGGAACTCTTCAGATACAGTGATTTTTAGAACTATTTGCAGACGAGTCCTGAAGATCTTGAAATTTTTATGAGTCCTCACCTGGACTCAAATATCTGAGACCCAAAAATTACTGAGATTGTCCTTAGTTACAATTACAAATGAACAGTTTACTGATCATCAGGTAAGTCTCAGGGACACTGAAAACATTTAAAGAACTCAGGCAAGTATATATATATATATATACTCCTTGGAATCCTTACTTACATGTATGTGAACAATTACTGATCATCAGGGCCGTCTTAAGATGTTCAAAACAAACAGGACACTTCAGTAGCTTGTCAACTTGCTGTAAAAACCAAACACCATTTATAAACAGTATACTCATTTCCAAACTACCTTATTATTTTACAATTATATATATATGAATCAAAATTTGACAATCTGAGGAATAAGAGAATGCAAGAAGTCAGATGACCCTTACTACGGGTAATTTTACACTGGTATGTTACTATGTAGCCAAACTTATAACAGCAAGACATTATGTATCAATATAATTATTTGTCAGTAACTCACAGCAAATTGAGTACTTCATATTTAATCACACTAGAAAAAAAATGCATTGAAATGTTGCTTTATAGAAATAGTGTTCAGCTTGTAAAATTGGACAGACAAAATAAAGCATGTTGTGAAAAGCTTTTCTGTAAAGGTTTGAAAAAGTCAATGTCAGCAGGAATACATATACATAATGTAGCCATCTGTGTATGGAAAGTATGGTGACATGCTTGTTGCTCAGATATACAAGAAAACATTGATTGAAAAGTGCAAATCTTCCAAATGTAGGGCATTTTAACTATCTTCGCCCCATCAGAAAAAAATAAAAGGCGATATTCAGTTATCTTTTGACAGAAGCTCAACTTTAAATATTTACTAAATGGTTACTTTCTGTATTCTGATGAAGTATTGTCCTGTTTCTGTGTTGCACCTGTTTATAATATGTGCCCTGACCTTTTGCACATCACTGCACCCATACTGGAAGCAAGTTTCTTGTTGAAGATGTTGAAGTTAAGGCCACAGGGGCTCGGTTTCGGGATACATTCGGTTAGTAATAAACCTATACACACCAGTAAACAGCAAAACTTTTATTTATCCGGCGTTTATATGTACGAGGGTTATAAAAAAAGTTGGGGTTTTTTTTCTACCTTGGTACCCTCAATTTTTAAAAAGGTTTTAGAATGTGTGTGTATATATATATATAAACACCGGATGAAAAGTGTTGCTGTTATTTACTGGTGTGTATAGGTTTAATTAATAAACACTTTTTTACTCAAAAACATGAGGAATGTATGGAAGAAGTCGTTTAACTTTCCTCTGCTTTGGTACATTTCACCATGATTAAAGGCTCAGAAACTAGTCACCCAATGTGTTGTTTTCATACAGGTGATGAAATCATTGGATCTCTTACGTACAGTACTCAGTAGCTTTATACTTTCCTCCCATTCAAACACACTAACAAGCAAAATATTATGGATATCAATATACAAGTTGTTAGTTCATAGAATAATTTCATTGTTTGTCATGCACAAGTTTTAGTTCTTATAGTGATGCTTTACTTTCTTTTTGTGTAATTCTTCTTTTATGCTGTAAATTCATAAATGTATGCATTGTTGTTTTAGATTATGCTATATTAGCATGTATTCTGTCAATTTTTAGTTTTTGCCATATTGGCATATATGTACATTAGACTGAAACGTCTCTTAACTTAAATTAATCTATATGCCGCATGAGCTTTATGTTCGCATGACCTTTAATTACCGTGCTATTTTACCTTTTATTCAACCATCTGTGATGCATGCTACCTTTGTGATATTTTATTGTTTCTATTAATTATGATTGTTAAAATAGTCGTAAGAATAGCTCTTCTGAGCTAAAGTTGCATTGTTACAAACATGACTCTAAATAAAAATTCTTGTATATCTTGTATCTTGGGTCACATCGAAAAGCTAATGAACGACAAAATGGTAGACTTCAAAATAATTCCAAGTAGAAGCACATAGTCGGTTTAAGATGACTATTATAATTATACCATCCTGTCAAAGGGTTCAGTTGCTTGTTATCATCTTTACAACTATGGAGGCGCACTGTTGATTCGCATAATAAACGTCGAATCAAAAGTACACAAACCACAAAAAGTTGTTACCTCCATCTTTCCCGCGTTATAATTTCTGTGCCGAATGTTTCTTGCCTCCAGTGCAAAGAGTTCCACTCTGATTAGTTATCTCCCTTAGATCAACTACGTTCCAAGAGGACTATGGGACCTGCACTAGTAAAATGAATGTTCAAAATATGGCGTATATCTGAAAAGAAAATGCAATATTTTTCTCTGCACACAATTTGATATGAATAAGTTATACAATAAAATAATAATAATACATTCACATCAATTAACATAATGGTTATTTTTATATATTTAGGCCTATATATTATAAACCGTCAACTTCTGAAAACTCCGATTAGCTAGATCTCCCTCAGTCGCTCCGCATCAACATTGAATAAGTAAAGAAATGCGTGAAACATGTCTGCAACATTTTGCTTAATTTATTTAACCTTCTTTAATGTCTCGGAATATCTCAGAAAAGTAAATATAACCTATACACATGTCTGTTATACATCCCCTGCAGCAACTGAGCTCATCTGAACCCTGGATGAAGATTTTGGTTGAAGTCAATTTTACTCTGAATGATGGCTTTCAGAGTTCTGTAAATTTTGATTTAATTGAGGGAGTCTCCCTCCTTACCAGTGGTGGTCGACAGCTGATAAGAGGTTTTTTTGACAGATTTTAACTATTTTATTTGCTTGACTATGATTTTGTTCAGATTATAAGTATACATGATTAAATATTCCTTGCATAGAAGTTATAAGAATTATTATTAGTCCAAATCCAAGAGAATTAATTATCAGCTCACATGGCAGGAAGACATCAGATCAGCTTCTCAAGAATGCATATAGAAGTTGCTATTTCATTCAAATCAATATCATTGACCCTTTTTCAGTCATACTCCCGAGGGATCAAATGTTTTAGAATCTTCAAATGACCTCTTTTCCTGAAAATTTTCCAAGATCATCTTATTTAAAGAACCATTAACCCTATAGTGATGTTCGTAGCTTGCTAGTTGGAAGGATACTAGTGGCTATTCAGACTAGCTTTAAGTTATTTGGTAGATTGAGGGATTTGAGCCGCGATATTTGGACACTAGTTTACTGAACGGAAGGATATGAGTGCTGAATGGAGAAGTGTAAGGAGTGATACTGATAATGGATGTACTTGACCCAATTCCAAAGTGACATGGGTCAAATACAAGTATGGTTATCAGTTCATGTTTCTCCTCTCATTCAAATCACTTCCAATTACATAATATTTACAGAGACCAGGAAGTAGTGTATACAAACTTCACATTTCACACTTCTGTGAAAGAGAAACAGGTATTGCTCATAATCTTTGTAACATATAAAGACAAAACAATCTTTTTTGTGGCTTGAATTCTTTTAATAATTTCTGTTACATAACAATGCATCGCAAACCTAATGTTTACTTGGCTAAAAATATCAATAAAGAAAATTTTGTATGTATACTACTGAAACATGATAAGATGGAAATGTTTCATGAAAAAAACCCTGATACTCTGTAGTCTAGTCGTAGAAATACACAATGTCAACAAGTACAAAACATGTCTCCCCTCATTAGCCAATATGGATATATGGTTTTGCCTTTATACTCTGACTTAACTACAGAGCACTACAGTTTTTATGGGTTACATAGGTATTATTTAGGTTTCATCAAGACATTGTTTGACAAGTTCAACAGTTACAGAAATTTTACAAAAACGTTTGCACTAATTTGATCTTTGACCTTATAGTAAAGGTCAGGTGCACAGTGACCTAAATGTAATGCACACCTTCTGTGGGTGATGCTGGCTTGCTTCAAGTTTCATTCAAATTCTTTGATGATCCATAATTAACAGCCAAACATGCACATTTTGCACTCATTTGACATCTGATGAAGAGATGAAGGTCTCAGTGACCTGATTCCAATGCAGTTCACATCTTATCTGGGTATAGCAGGTATACATCAGGTATCAAGGTATTTGTAAATAGTTTCAAATTTACAGCGAATTAGAATCAGAACCAGAAAAACCAGTACTACATGTAATAAAATGTCTTTCTCTTGTTAGAATGAGACATAATTAACTCCATATATTGACTGGAGTTATTTATAATTAAGAATTGGATCTTACTTTTATGATAAATTGTGTTTGGTCTTGAGACAAACGTAATGAATTGCAAAGCAGTAAATGTTAAATTTATCTTAAGAAACTTTAGACAAACTTGATTCATCACTTCATGAAATCTACCAAAGCAAAATTCAATTTTTACATTTAAATTAAACCTACTTTATAAAACATGGTACTTGTGTAAGTCTACATTTCAACTTGATGTTATAACAGATGTTCCTGTTCATTGCCCATGTTGGTAATAAATCATTCCGAATATAACATTTTTATTGCACAAAATCATGGTATAAGTATGTACCCATACTTTTCATACGTAAATATTTCTACCACACACCAAAAACTTAAGACTGATGCATCACATTAATTCTGGCAAAATGGCGTGAAATTAGACTACTTACACACGTAGGCAATGTTCATATGGTCGATTTATTGCGTAAATTAACCACACAACATTCAGCAGTTTCTTAGTCAAATCTCAGTAGAAATTGAAACATATATGTGTATTATGAATTCTTGAAACTCAGTTGCTTTAAATTAAAATATTTTAAAAAAAACTTGCATATTCCCGCAAACTTTTACAAAATGACTACTGGTACTGAACTTTGGCCAGGCGCACTAAAAAAATTAACATTGAGAAGGGTTGGTGTAAAAATGAAGAAAAAAAACCCACCCATTTTTATAAGATTTGATACTGTACTACAAAGCAGACAGATATGACCTGCTTAAATCAGTCAAAACAATTTTTTAAAACATAATTAACAACAGAAGGGGGGGGGGGTAATTAACAACAGAAGGGGGAGGGTAATTAACAACAGAAGGGGGGGGGTAATTAATAACAGAAGGGGGGTTAATTAATAACAGAAGGGGGGAGGAGGTGATTAACAACATTATCACGAACAGCTCTTTAACAACAGCTGTTCTACACTTCTCTGTTCACAAAAACATAACAGATTTCTGTATCAACATGACAAGGCGAGTAGAGTGTTACATGTTAACATCAATACAACTCTCTTACCTTTATAAATACGCTTGTACACAATCTCTCTCTCAATCTTACTTCTCTTGTATTCTATTGTGAAATGCCACACATACCCATTCACTCATTACACATATCAACCACACCTCATCAAATCACTCAAAAACAATATACCAGAAATAACAATACCCTATAAGTATAACATGCAAAAACGAGTCTTGTGATCTACAGATGTTATATGATGTATGCATATTGTACTTGTGACAGGACTCCATCTGAAAGGACACCAGCCTTTCAGTGGATTACTTACACTAGTGTGTTGGTACTTATCTGTACAGAAGTCTAGAATAACACACTCAGGTTAAAAGTTTGTTCAAATAGCAACCGTTGTTACTACAGTAGGACAGGAAAGATATTATTCCCCTATAGACATGATGTTTTCACCGAAGGAACATAGAAATATCTACAACTACAAAATATCTTAGTTGTTCTGAAATCTACTTCTACAAAACATGCTATCAGTAAAAAAAACAGAAATACAAAACACAATCTTTACTCTAAACAGAAGTACTACAATAAATGAAAACAATATTCCAAAGTCCCATATCAACCATACTCTACACCAACAGAACATTCATTGTACATACTGATATTCAAAATAATTTAGAAACACATCTCAAAGTGTCCTTTATTTGGCTGTAGTTGGTCCCTCCTTGTTTTCAATAACAGCTACATTACAGGAAGTGAACTGCACAGCTATGGTATTTAAATCATTCAGCATCTACACCGTCAAGCAACATCAGCATTCTTCTATCATATTTGTTTGAATGTCAGATAATTTTCTCAACTCATAAAAGGTGATTAAGTTTGTGTTCTGATCATTCCTTTCTCTCATTTTGAAAACAATCTTGAATCTTTCCAGTCTTTGTATAAATCACCCATTAATTCATGATTGTCATCAAGCAGCATGTCTAAAACTCTGCATGTGTTCCTCCTTGATTCCGTTCGTGAGTTCCTCCTCGATTCCATTCATGTGTTTCTCCTCAATTCCGTTCCTGTGTTCCTCCTTGATTCCGCTCATGTGTTCCTCCTCAACTCTATTTGTGTGTTCCTCCTCAATTCCGCTCATGTGTTCCTCCTTGATTCTGTTCATGTGTTCCTCCTCAATTCCGCTCATGTGTTCCTCCTTGATTCTGTTCATGTGTTCCTCCTCAATTCCGCTCATGTGTTCCTCCTTGATTCTGTTCATGTGTTCCTCCTCAATTCCGCTCATGTGTTCCTCCTTGATTCTGTTCATGTGTTCCTCCTCAATTCCGCTCATGTGTTCCTCCTTGATTCTGTTCATGTGTTCCTCCTCAATTCCGCTCATGTGTTCCTCCTTGATTCTGTTCATGTGTTCCTCCTCAATTCCGCTCATGTGTTCCTCCTTGATTCTGTTCATGTGTTCCTCCTCAATTCCGCTCATGTGTTCCTCCTTGATTCTGTTCATGTGTTCCTCCTCAATTCCGCTCATGTATTCCTCCTCAATTCCGTTCATGTGTTCCTCCTTGATTCCGTTCATGTGTTCCTCCTCGATTCCTCATATTCCTTCTCCTTCTTGCGGTCCTCCGGAGTGGTACCTAAGAGGCTGTCCCAAATAGTGTTTTCCACCTTGAGAACCCCTGGACTGTAAACTCCCCCAGACACTGTTGTACCATTACTCTGAAATAAAAATAGCAACACTGTCATGCTTGCCTTGGCTATTTAAGCTTTATGAAAGAATTACACTGTAATTTTTGACTGCTATCATATTTTGTTGTTATGTTATAAAATTTTGCTGTTATGTTATCATATTTTGTTATGTTATCACATTTTGCTTTTATGTTATAACATTTTGTTGTTATGTTATAACATTTTGTTATTACGTTATCACATTTTGCTGTTATGTTATCACATTTTGTTGTCATGCTATAACATTTTGCTGTTATGTTATAACATTTTGCTGTTATGTTATCATATTTGTTATGCTATCACATTTTGGTGTTAATCATAATTTGATTTGTAAACATTTCAGTCTAGGTTGACCCATGGATTGATTGTTTATGGCTTATCAGCACAAAAATGTCAAACTTCACAAAACAGTGCTAAGTTAAGCCAACATATCATTTAAGGGATTACTAATGAAAGATCACAAGGAAATAAAACCATGTTTTACCAAGTTTATGTCCTTTCTCTGTAATGTCAGAGCGTATGGTTTAAACTCAGCTCCAGTTTTCATACATGTGAATGTCACTTTCTTCTCTTTCAAAGTTGTGCTAAGCACAGGATACTCAAAGGAACACTGAAACAAACAAAAATCAAATTAAATAGGCTGACTTAGTACACTTTGTATCAAAATACCTATTTAATCTGATTTTTCTTTTTGCTGAATTGTGTATAATGTGAAAACAAATATTCAAATTATTTCACAAAGAAAGAGTTAAATGTTCTGAAAATTGTATACTGCTGTAACAGTTGTATTCTATGGAAATATACAAATTTTCCTAATTCTGTAAAAACTCATGTGTATATTCCAACACATAAACATTCGCAGGTCCTCCAGGATTTATACACGTAAACATTACATTTAAAACAGACAAACCTGTTTAACTGGATACTTGAAAGGGGCCGTGGTATTAAGTCAGAGAAAATTGCACAAAACTAACGATTAGGGCCTAACTGGCCTGACCTCTGGATCAGCTTCATCAGTGTGGGCCACATGATGAGGGCGTTACTTACCCCTGACCTCTGGATCAGCTTCATTAGTGTGGGCGACATGATGAGGGCGTTACCTACCCCAACCTCTGGATCAGTTTCATCAGTATGGGCGACATAATGAGGGCGTTACTTACCCCTGACCTCTGGATCAGCTTCATCAGTGTGGGCAACATGATGAGGGTGTTACTTACCCCTGACCTCTGGATCAGCTTCATCAGTGTGGGACAAATGATGAGAGCATTACCTACCCCCGACCTCTGAATCAGATTCATCAGTGTTGGCAACATAATGAGGGCGTTACCTACTCCCGACCTCTGGATCAGCTTCATCAGTGTGGGCAACATGATTAGGGTGTTACTTACCGCTGACCTCTGGATCAGCTTCATCAGTGTGGGCGACATGATGAGGGCGTTACCTACCCCTGACCTCCTGATCAGCTTCATCAGTGTGGGCGACATGATGAGGGTGTTACTTACCCCTGACCTCCGGATCAGCTTCATCAGTGTGGGCGACATGATGAGGGTGTTACTTACCCCTGACCTCCGGATCAGCTTCATCAGCGTGGGCGACATGATGAGGGCGTTACCTACCCCTGACCTCCGGATCAGCTTCATCAGTGTGGGCGACATGATGAGGGCGTTACTTACCCCTGACCTCTGGATCAGCTTCCGTCAGTATGGGCGACATGATGAGGGCGTTACTTACCCCTGACCTTTGGATCAGCTTCATCAGTGTGGGGGACATGATGAGGGTGTTACTTATGCCTGACCTCTGGATCAGCTTCATCAGTGTGGGCGACATGATGAGGGTTTACTTACCCCTGACCTCCGGATCAGCTTCATCAGTGGGGGCGACATGATGAGGGCGTTACTGACCCCTGACCTCTGGATCAGCTTCATCAGCGTGGGCGACATGATGAGGGCGTTACTTACCCCTGACCTCTGGATCAGCTTCCATCAGTATGGGCGACATGATGAGGGCGTTACTTACCCCTGACCTCTGGATCAGCTTCATCAGTGTGGGCAACATAATGAGGGCATTACTTACCCCTGACCTCTGGATCAGCTTCATCAGTGTGGGCGACATGATGAGGGCCTTCTTAGCCCGGGTTACTGCCACATACAACAGGTTGCTCTCATCCTCACTTGGCAAACCTACATCAAAAATATTACGTTCATTATATACATACCGATATTAACATTTTAAAATGTGTCTCTTTGTCAAAAACAATTCTAAAATTCAATGTATGAAAATTTTACATACTGATGAAGCACCTGTTTACTCCATACCTTTACAACTAACAATTTTTCATATATTTCTTTTTTAACACATTTTGTTGCGCATTTTTCTTAACAATGCCCGAATACTGAAATCGGTTCATAAGAAATTACAGTTTAACATAATTTTTTTATTATGTGCAATGGAAAAAAAAAAAAAAATTGAAATATTGCTTTTTAGAAAGGTGACAGAAGCTCATCAAAAGATAAAGTTCATCGCAATTTTTCACCAGTTAATATAACGGTGAACTTACGTAAAGGTGTATCCAGGAACTATGATGGTGAACTTATGTAAAGGTTTACCCGGAAACTATGATGGTGAACTTACATAAAGGTTTACCCAGAAACTATGATAGTGAACTTACATAAAGGTGTACCCAGAAACTATGATGGTGAACTTACATAAAGGTTTACCCAGAAACTATACATAAAGGTGTACCCAGAAACTATGATGGTGAACTTACATAAAGGTTTACCCAGTTAATATAATGGTGAACTTACGTAAAGGTTTACCCAGTTAATATAATTTATTTAATTCTTTATTTATTTTACGAGGATTACAAACAGCCCAAAGGCTACTAGATGCTCTCCTCAACATATATATCAAACATACAATATGTACAATTACACAAAAGACGTACAAATGTCGCAGACACTTGCACTCACACATACACAAATTACAGAGAGAGAGAGAGAGAGAGAGAGAGAGACAGAATCTGTTTGAATTTACGATATATTCAACAACATGGTCAAATAATGTTTTGTTCTCAATTTCGTTTAGAGTTTCTAATCCACATAAAATTATTTTGACAAGAACAATTGGCGTGAGCTCTACAATAAGGTTGGAATTGATATTTGGAGCAAATATATGACAAACAGTACGGAGCATATTGGAACGGATTCGGTTATATTTTGGACAAAGTAAAAAGAAATAAATTTCATCTTCGGAGGAGTGCGCGCAGAAGTCACAGAATTTGTTATTAGTTAAATTGTAAGAGTATCTATGTTTGTTTAAAGCACTTAGTCCCATTCTTATTTTAGAGTGATTGATTTTTCCTTTCCCATGTCCATATGCATATAAAGAGTTTGTTTGTGGAGTGGATAGATTTGACAGTGCTAGAGAGAAAGACGTTAGTGAAGAGCTATTTCTCAATGCTTCAGGTAGGTTGTTCCAGTCTCGTATTGATTTTGGAAAGAAGGATTGGTGATAGAAAGATGTTCTTGACAGGATAGGAAGAATAGTAATAGAATGTTGTAGTTTTGTGTTCGATGACTCTGAATTGGACAAATAGTTTTCAAGTATGGCAGACATAGATCATGCTTACTTTTATATAACATTTTAAGTCTGCAATTTTTTCGTCTCTCACTTAGTTTTTCCCATCCCAATTCACCCAGCAGTTTAGTATATTTGGTAACCTTATCACCGCCTGTGCATATTAATGCCGCCCTACGCTGAACACTTTCAATAAGGTCAGACTCTTGCTGACTGCAGTTATCAAATAAAATATTGCCATATTCCATAATCGATCTTACCATAGTTTTATATAGTGTTTCAAGACAAGAACGTGGGATAATATAAGCTAATGCTTGTAAGATATTTAGTATTCTGTTTGCTTTGGCTACAATTTCTGAAATATGAGAATGCCAGCTGAGGTTACCCGATAGAATTATGCCCAGATGTTTATGGTTAATTACATGTTTAATCGGAATGTTGTTAAGCAGGAGGTTCGGTTTATTAACAAATCTTTTTTTAGAGAAAATAACAAATTCAGTTTTTAGTGCGTTAAATGTGACAAGCCATCGCTTTGCCCACTGAGACAGAGTAGTTAAGTCGTCGTTTAGTGTATTTACCGATTCGTTGCTATTTATGGTTGATGAGAGAGATGTGTCGTCAGCGAATAAGTAAATGTCAGATGAGATGCCTACATTTATATCGTTTACATATACTAAAAATAAGAGCGGTCCAAGGATCGAGCCCTGGGGGACACCAGAGTTAATATATTTATGACCAGAAGATTGACCGTTTAAGACTACATACTGTTTTCTATTATAAAGATAACTTTTAAGCCAACAAAGCAAACTACCTCTAATACCTATGTTTTCTAATTTGTGAAGTAGACCTTCGTGCCACACCTTGTCAAAAGCTTTTNATTTCAAGCCAACAAAGCAAACTACCTCTAATACCTATGTTTTCTAATTTGTGAAGTAGACCTTCGTGCTACACCTTGTCAAAAGCTTTTGAGACTAAAAATACTATACAAACATCCTCACCATTATCTATACATTTATAAATGCTGTGGATTATTTTCAACAACTGATTAATGGTAGAATCATTTCTTTTAAATCCATAGTTTTCTTTGATAAGAATGTTATTTGCCAAAAAGAATTCATAAATACGTTTGTATACTATTCTTTCAAGACATTTAGATATATTTGAAAGAAGTGATATTGGCCGATAATTTTTAACATCATTTTTGCTGTCTTTTTTATGAATAGGACAAACTTGAGCTGTTTTCAACAAAGTGGGAAAAATACCTGACCTGAGAGAAGTATTAAAGATATGTGCCCAAGTATGACATAATGATTGACAGCAATTTTTAAGAATAAAATTTCTTATGCCATCTGGTCCTGTTGCCTTTTTGGTGTTTAGCGACTTAAAAATATTACATACCTCTTCTGGAGTGGTTTGTAAGGTACCAATTACAGGTAAGTTATTATTTACATTAGTTTGGGGTAGTACTGGTTTCTCAATGTTATCCGGGATAGTACACTGATCAGAGAAATATGTGTTAAATCGATCTGCCTTATCAGTATCATCGTGTATATAGCGATTGTTTTCCATTAAAGGAGGGATAGTGTGATCGCCATTTTTGCCTAGAAGTGATTTAGTAATTGACCAGAAAGGTTAAGGATTGGTGTTTTTGTCAGATAGTTTAGTAATAGTGGATTCTTGCCAGCATTTAAGTGCTTCGCGTTTTACCCGATTTGCTTCCCTACGTGCTACCTGGAACCTGAATTTATCGAAATCTTTACCTGTTCTTTGAAATACTTCGTTTGTTAACCACAGTTTGTCACGAGGACGAATATTGACTACTTTGTTTATGATAAAAGTTTTACACGTATCTAAGACGTATCTAAGATAAACTTGTTTACATTATCAATGATATCATCTAAAAGATTAAAAACACCGAAGAATATATCAATATGGGCGGTGTTGAATGCATTGTTCAAACCATCGATATCAGCAGTTTTGTAGTCCCATATGGTTCTCTGATATGACTGAGGCTTTGGAACATAATATTTCAGTTTACAGGAAATAGAACTATGATCAAGGTTACAGAGTGGTGATTTTATATCAACATTTGCCACAAAGTGGACTTTATCAACAAAAATGAGATCAAGTATATGTGATGAATTCTCGGTAAAATGGGTAGCTTTATTAATTAATTGTGACAAATTATTTTGGATCGCAATATTAAAAAGACGACGTCTAAGTTCACTAGTCACGTGCTGGTCATCCCAGTTAATATAATGGTGAACTTACGTAAAGGTGTACCCTGGAACTGTTGCTCTAACTCCTGTAGCTGTATGTAGGCTACATAGTCATCCGTCAGGTGTACAGTACTGAACTCCAGACCTTTTGACTTGTGTGCTGTGCTCAGCACCACATCTGTAAAGAGTAAAGATATCACTGCTATACCACACAGTGTTAAGCAATGTCACTACAGACCAAGACAAAGTCTACCTATAATATCTTGTCCCATGCTATACCACATAGTGTTAAACAATGTCACTACAGACCAAGACAAGTCTACCTTTAATATCTTCTCCCATGCTATACCACACAGTGTTAAACAATGTCACTACAGACCAGGACAAAGTCTACCTTTAATATCTTGTCCCATGCTATACCACATAGTGTTAAACAATGTCACTACAGACCAAGACAAAGTCTACCGTTAATATCTTGTCCCATGCTATACCACATAGTGTTAAACAATGTCACTACAGACCAAGAAAAAGTCTACCTTTAATATCTTGTCCCATGCTATACCACATAGTGTTAAACAATGTCACTACAGACCAAGACAAATCTACCTTTAATATCTTGTCCCATGCTATACCACAAAGTGTTAAACAATTTCACTACAGACCAAGACAAAGTCTACCTTTAATATCTTGTCCCATGCTATACCACATAGTGTTAAACAATGTCACTACAGACCAAGACAAAGTCTACCTTTAATATCTTGTCCCATGCTATACCACATAGTGTTAAACAATGTCACTACAGACCAAGACAAAGTCTACCTATAATATCTTGTCCCATGCTATACCACATAGTGTTAAACAATGTCACTACAGACCAAGACAAAGTCTACCTATAATATCTTGTCCCATGCTATACCACATAGTGTTAAACAATGTCACTACAGACCAAGACAAAGTCTACCTATAATATCTTGTCCCATGCTATACCACATAGTGTTAAACAATGTCACTACAGACCAAGACAAAGTCTACCTATAATATCTTGTCCCATGCTATACCACATAGTGTTAAACAATGTCACTACAGACCAAGACAAAGTCTACCTATAATATCTTGTCCCATGCTATACCACATAGTGTTAAACAATGTCACTACAGACCAAGACAAAGTCTACCTATAATATCTTGTCCCATGCTATACCACATAGTGTTAAACAATGTCACTACAGACCAAGACAAAGTCTACCTATAATATCTTGTCCCATGCTATACCACATAGTGTTAAACAATGTCACTACAGACCAAGACAAAGTCTACCTATAATATCTTGTCCCATGCTATACCACATAGTGTTAAACAATGTCACTACAGACCAAGACAAAGTCTACCTATAATATCTTGTCCCATGCTATACCACATAGTGTTAAACAATGTCACTACAGACCAAGACAAAGTCTACCTATAATATCTTGTCCCATGCTATACCACATAGTGTTAAACAATGTCACTACAGACCAAGACAAAGTCTACCTATAATATCTTGTCCCATGCTATACCACATAGTGTTAAACAATGTCACTACAGACCAAGACAAAGTCTACCTATAATATCTTGTCCCATGCTATACCACATAGTGTTAAACAATGTCACTACAGACCAAGACAAAGTCTACCTATAATATCTTGTCCCATGCTATACCACATAGTGTTAAACAATGTCACTACAGACCAAGACAAAGTCTACCTATAATATCTTGTCCCATGCTATACCACATAGTGTTAAACAATGTCACTACAGACCAAGACAAAGTCTACCTATAATATCTTGTCCCATGCTATACCACATAGTGTTAAACAATGTCACTACAGACCAAGACAAAGTCTACCTATAATATCTTGTCCCATGCTATACCACATAGTGTTAAACAATGTCACTACAGACCAAGACAAAGTCTACCTATAATATCTTGTCCCATGCTATACCACATAGTGTTAAACAATGTCACTACAGACCAAGACAAAGTCTACCTATAATATCTTGTCCCATGCTATACCACATAGTGTTAAACAATGTCACTACAGACCAAGACAAAGTCTACCTATAATATCTTGTCCCATGCTATACCACATAGTGTTAAACAATGTCACTACAGACCAAGACAAAGTCTACCTATAATATCTTGTCCCATGCTATACCACATAGTGTTAAACAATGTCACTACAGACCAAGACAAAGTCTACCTATAATATCTTGTCCCATGCTATACCACATAGTGTTAAACAATGTCACTACAGACCAAGACAAAGTCTACCTATAATATCTTGTCCCATGCTATACCACATAGTGTTAAACAATGTCACTACAGACCAAGACAAAGTCTACCTATAATATCTTGTCCCATGCTATACCACATAGTGTTAAACAATGTCACTACAGACCAAGACAAAGTCTACCTATAATATCTTGTCCCATGCTATACCACATAGTGTTAAACAATGTCACTACAGACCAAGACAAAGTCTACCTATAATATCTTGTCCCATGCTATACCACATAGTGTTAAACAATGTCACTACAGACCAAGACAAAGTCTACCTATAATATCTTGTCCCATGCTATACCACATAGTGTTAAACAATGTCACTACAGACCAAGACAAAGTCTACCTATAATATCTTGTCCCATGCTATACCACATAGTGTTAAACAATGTCACTACAGACCAAGACAAAGTCTACCTTTAATATCTTGTCCCATGCTATACCACATAGTGTTAAACAATGTCACTACAGACCAAGACAAAGTCTACCTTTAATATCTTGTCCCATGCTATACCACACAGTGTTAAACAATGTCGCTACAGACCAAGACAAAGTCTACCTTTAATATCTTGTCCCATGCTACACCACATAGTGTTAAACAATGTCACTACAGACCAAAACAAAGTCTACCTTTAATATCTTGTCCCATCCTATACCATATAGTGTTAAACAATGTCACTACAGACCAAGACAAAGTCTACCTATAATATCTTGTCCCATGCTATACCACATAGTGTTATACAATGTCACTACAGACCAAAACAAAGTCTACCTTTAATATCTTGTCCCATGCTATACCATATAGTGTTAAACAATGTCACTACAGACCAAGACAAGTCTACCTTTGATATCTAATCCCATGCTATACCACATAGTGTTAAACAATGTCACTGCAGACCAAGACAAAGTCTACCTATAATATCTTGTCCCATGCTATACCACATAGTGTTATACAATATCACTACAGACCAAGACAAAGTCTACCTATAATATCTTCTCCCATGCTATACCACATAGTGTTAAACAATGTCACTACAGACCAAGACAAGTCTACCTTTGATATCTAATCCCATGCTATACCACATAGTGTTAAACAATGTCAATATAGACCAAGACAAAGTCTACCTTTAATATCTAATCACATGCTATACCACATAGTGTTAAACAATGTCAATATAGACCAAGACAAATCACCTTTAATATCTTGTCCCATGCTATACCACATAGTGTTAAACAATGTCACTACAGACCAAGACAAAGTCTACCTATAATATCTTGTCCCATGCTATACCATATAGTGTTATACAATGTCACTACAGACCAAGACAAAGTCAACCTATAATATCTTGTCCCATGCTATACCACATAGTATTAAACAATGTCACTACAGACCAAGACAAAGTCTACCTATAATATCATGTCCCATGCTATACCACATAGTGTTAAACAATGTCACTGCACACCAAGACAAAGTCTACCTATAATATCTTGTCCCATGCTATACCACATAGTATTAAACAATGTCACTACAGACCAAGACAAAGTCTACCTATAATATCATGTCCCATGCTATACCACATAGTGTTAAACAATGTCACTACAGACCAAGACAAAGTCTACTTATAATATCTTGTACCATGCTATACCACATAGTGTTAAACAATGTCACTGCACACCAAGACAAAGTCTACCTATAATATCTTGTCCCATGCTATACCACAGAGTATTAAACAATGTCACTACAGACCAAGACAAAGTCAACCTATAATATCTTGTCCCATGCTATACCACATAGTGTTAAACAATGTCACTGCACACCAAGACAAAGTCTACCTATAATATCTTGTCCCATGCTATACCACATAGTGTTGAACAATGTCACTACAGACCAGGACAAAGTCTACCTTTAATATCTTGTCCCATGCTATACCATATAGTGTTATACAATGTCACTACAGACCAAGACAAAGTCAACCTATAATATCTTGTCCCATGCTATACCACATAGTGTTATACAATATCACTACAGACCAAGACAAAGTCTACCTATAATATCATGTCCCATGCTATACCACATAGTGTTAAACAATGTCACTACAGACCAAGACAAGTCTACCTTTAATATCTTCTCCCATGCTATACCATATAGTGTTAAACAATGTCACTACAGGCCAAGACAAGTCTACCTTTAATATCTTCTCCCATGCTATACCATATAGTGTTAAACAATGTCACTACAGGCCAAGACAAGTCTACCTTTAATATCTTCTCCCATGCTATACCATATAGTGTTAAACAATGTCACTACAGACCAAGACAAGTCTACCTTTAATATCTTCTCCCATGCTATACCATATAGTGTTAAACAATGTCACTACAGACCAAGACAAAGTCAACCTATAATATCTTGTCCCATGCTATACCACATAGTGTTGAACAATGTCACTACAGACCAGGACAAAGTCTACCTTTAATATCTTGTCCCATGCTATACCACATAGTGTTAAACAATGTCAATATAGACCAAGACAAAGTCTACCTTTAACATCTTGTCCCATGCTATACCACAATTGTACACATAAATGTCTATTTATCAACAAAATGTTAAAAGTTAACTGGTACATATTATCTTTGCTTATTAGATATACAATAATTAAACTTTTAACTTTTTTGAGACTTTATAAACTGTTCAGTATTGAATTAAGGTTCCTAGACTGTAGTATGCAGCATTACTTGAATAGAAATAAATAGAATTTGAAGTCAAGGACAATAAGATTATGATGTTATAACAGGTTCCTCAGTCATGACTTTACCTGCTACTCGAGTGTCACGGATCGTCTTCTTGAGGATTTTATCAATGTAACCCGGGAGGTTGTGGTGATGTTGGCGGACAATTTTTATCTTTCCCAAGAGGTCATTATCCTGTGTTTTATTGGCGTATTTCTCAAGATCAGGAAGGCTCCTGAATGACCTTACCAGTTTGTGTTCAATCTCTCTTCTCTCTGTCAACAAAATGTACACACATTTTATCAGAACACGTGTCCTCAGGCTCTAAATAATGAAAAATATTCACAAAAAGATATCGATGTGAATTTAAAATACTGTGTTGTAAAAAGATATTGCATAAATTTCAAATGCCTTATGATAATCACACTGGATATTTTTAAATAGAAGTGCCAAACCTCACACACTACATCTACAACATCACTGTTGAAGAGCTTTAAAACAGGCTTTTTCTTATTGGCTGCAATACACTTAATGACTTTGATTAAAACAGCGCAACAAACTAGGCTTACAGGACACTTATCAATATTTATACTTTAGGTTTGCTTTCCACCAGAATACGTTTTGACAAAGATATTTATCAACAAAGCTCCTCTATATTGGAGATTCCACAGACTCACTCTCTTGACACATTTCAGAGCCTAGTCACTCTACAAGCAGCTCAAATCAATTATTGTGATTATCTATCTGTCCAGGCTTACCTTTCTGTCTTTGTTCTGGAGTCAACAAAAGACAGTAGATGTCCATTATCATCCCAAAACCAAACCCATCGGTGCCCTGAAATATAACAAAGTTTGAATCACTTTGAATCACTTTAAAGTTAACTTTATACACAACCTGTAAGATAAAGCGGAATAATTCAAGAACTGGTTTATTAAAATTTAGATTTTTGAGTATAACAAATCTAACATTGGCTCTTCTTTGGGGCTACTCACCATTTAAATAATGTTTACATAATAGAAACTAGAAACAATGAAACATAATGCAATATCACCTGCATGTATCTTATAAATTGCACCATTATCAAAAAACCAATCTTATACTAAATTATCCAATAATAGTGTGACCTTAATAAAAGCGAAAAATATTAACAACTGGTGTTGGTGGAGCTGGATATATAAATGTTCAACAACTGGTGTCGGTGGAGCTTGATATATAAATTTTCACACTCACATGAACATAGAGGTACTAGGTACCAAGACTGGGGGGCCTATAAAACAGTCTGAAACAGTACCAGGGTGTTTTTTTTTAAATAATTCTTATTTTACAGATGATCAGTTCAGGTGGTATTTAGGTGAAAACACTGGTTTTGGGTAATGAAGTTTTAAATTTCATTTAAGTAATTTTTTAACTTAAATATTTACCCCAACAAAAGCCACCTTATCATCTGTGTTCTCATGGCAACATCTCTTCACAGCTTCATTAAACAGGGTGAAGTTACACCTGGTCAGTACAGCCAGCTGGCCTACCTGTTCTCCTAGTACCTTACCTGAAATAACACAACATTTCTATATATACACAGTAAAGTTACACTTGGTCAGTACAGCCAGCTGGCCTACCTGTTCTCCTAGCTCCTTACCTGAAATAACACAACATTTCTATATATATAGTAAAGTTACACCTGGTCAGGACAGCAAGCTGGCCTACCTGTTCTCCAAGCTCCTTACCTGAAATAACACAACATTTCCATATTGTAAAAACAAAGTTAAGTAAAGAACAGCCAGATGGGATAACTGTTCCCTAATTATATAAGTACTTAAACTTCAAGAATCAGTGGGAAAGGCAACAACCATACAATATGTCTTGTCATAGACATAAGGTAGACTAGTGCACACTATCCCTCCTCAATATCCAGCATTAACACAGTGTAACTTTATCCTAACTTGTATATCTTTACAGCTGGGTAGACTAGTGTAAACTATCCCTCCTAAATATACATCACTCGCACAGTGTAGCCTCACCCATACTTATAGAGGAACATATGTGTACAGCTGGGTAGACTAGTGTACACTATCCCTCCTCAATACCCAGCGTTAACACAGTGTCACTTTATCCTAACTTGTACATCTGTATAGCTGGGTAGACTAGTGTTAACTATCCCCCCTAAATATACATCACTTGCACAGTGTAGCCTCACCCATCCTTACAGAGGAACATATTTGTACAGCTGGGTAGACTAGTGTAAACTATCCCTCCTAAATAGCCATCACTACACAGTGTAACCTAACCCATACTTACAGAGGTACATATTTGTACAGCTGGGTAGACTAGCATAAACTATTCCTCCGAAATAGCCACTACTCATCATTCATACAAGGTAATTTTATCCATACTTACATGTTTGGCCATTTCCAACCAGAGTTTTCTTTTTTTCATTTTTCAATGTTTCCAGACAACAAGCAGCTATTTCAGCAATCTCTGGACCAAACCTGAATGACTGTCAAACATTTTTTTTATAGTCAAACCTCTGAGGTAATGCTTTATAGAGGTACAAACTGGACCAAACCTGAATGACTGTCAAACAAAAACATTTATAGTCAAACAACTGAGGAAATGGTTAATAGAGGTACAAACTGGACCAGACCTGAATGACTGTCAAACAAAAACATCTATAGTCAAACAACTGAGGAAATGGTTAATAGAGGTACAAAATGGACCAAACCTGAATGACTGTCAAACAAAATCATCTATAGTCAAACTACTGAGGTTATGCCTTATAGAGGTACAAACTGGACTAAACCTGAATGACCGTCAAACAAAAACATCTATAGTCAACCCCCTGAGGTAATGCCTTATAAAGGTACAAACTGGACCAACCCTGAATGACCGTCAAACAAAAACATTTATAGTCAAACTACTGAGGTAATGCCGTACAGAGGTACAAACTCAACCAAACCTGAATGACTGTCAAACAAAAACATCTATAGTCAAACTACTGAGGTTATGCCTTATAGAGGTACAAACTGGACTAAACCTGAATGACCGTCAAACAAAAACATCTATAGTCAAACCTCTGAGGTAATGCCTTATAAAGGTACAAACTGGACCAAACCTGAATGACTGTCAAACAAAAACATTTATAGTCAAACCTCTGAGGTAATGCTTTATAGAGGTACAAACTGGACTAAACCTGAATGACTGTCAAACAAAAACGTCTATAGTCATTCCTCTGAGGTAATGCCTTATAAAGGTCCAAACTGGACCAAACCTGAATGATTGTCAAACAAAAACATCTATAGTCAAACTACTGAGGTTATGCCTTATAGAGGTACAAACTGGACTAAACCTAAATGACTGTCAAACAAAAACGTCTATAGTCATTCCTCTGAGGTAATGCCTTATAAAGGTACAAACAGGACCAAACCTGAATGACTGTCAAACAAAAACATCTATAGTCAAACCTCTGAGGTAATGCCTTATTGAGGTACAAACAACTCTCAAGAAAACACATTTGTAGTGAAGCTAATGCCTTTACAATGGACTCAACAAGAATAACTGTCAAACCCATTATTATTACAGTCAAATTAAAGTCTTTATACTGGACTTAACTGGACAAAATACCAAACAAATCACATTTAAACTGAAATTAGAAACTCCTGACACTGGACTAAATGTATGTCCTGTTGATATTGTTACCTGTGTCAGGTAGAAGATTGTGGAGGCCTGGACAGTCTGCATAGAGTTGACCGCTCCCCGAAAGGAATAGATCTGCTGGTGTGGGTCCCCAACCAGGATCTTTGATGTGATTTGACTGAGCAGGATGTCAGATATCGCTAATAAACAATGACATCAACAATATAAAGTAAATATAAATGAACAAACCAGAAAGAAACAGATTTAGAGAAGTCTAGAAAAACGCATCATAACACTCATTGTAACGACAAGTCAATGGAGTCAAGCTTAATCTATTTTATATAGATAAACTAGTCGGCCAAATAAACTTTAAAATCCACCTATTGGTGACGATGGAGTATGTTGTGATTATATCCATTTTCTTTATATGTGCCTATATTCTGTAATCGCCCTGCACAACTTTTGGTATCCGTACTCAAAGCGAAGCGCCCCACTGATCAACCCACAAATCTACACCTGATGTTGGCTCTATTACCTTACTTTAATTTAATATATAATATTTTCTCAAAAAGATAACAGTTTTACCTAGCTTGTCACATGTGTAAAACTGTAAATCATGTACATGATCAACTGTTACCTGTCATTACTGAATAAGGATACAACAACTCATATACCACTCCTACAACCTGGACTTTTCATCCAGCAACAAATCACCAGGTGGTTCAACACACTGGAGGTGTTAATTATACTCTCAGTGACTTTCACCATTAATAATGTTTGTCTGCTTGATCTCAAATACTTTGACAATGCATCGCTTAAACTAGGATATATTTGAAGCGGTGACAGATGTCCCCAGACTGTCAGTACTTAGTTTGATAATCATGCTGAACTTGTTTAATACTCAGAATGACTGATGATCAAACTGTTAGATATCTCCATTTAGAACTCTCAATGTTAATCTACAAACTTGACATCCTAAACCAACTCTCAGATTTACTGCCTTGCAATCCTCCATTGACAGTTTTTTCTGTGGAATTGTTTTACATGTACATGTCATAACAACCCTGTTGCAATGATATGGATATGTAGTGTTTAATATACAAAGCTGACATAACTTGTTTTATTATTGTTTCTGTTATATGTACGAAGAGATCTGACTGTTAACGTTGAGGAACTTCAGGAGGACGGTGGTGTACCTGGAGTAAGGTCCTGAGCCTCATCTATCAGGATACAGTCATAGTTCCAGTGTAGACGAGGGCGACTCAGCTGGTAAAGTTTGAGGTAGCCATCATGTGATATTGGCACATACTTATCCTCCAGATCCTTCATGCGGTTCCACAGATAACAAGTGTCATCAACATACATCTACAACCAACCTGGTTCTATTAGTTTACATCAGGGTCAAAGTCCAAATAGGTTTTATACGGGGAACACATAGTGCTATAAAACCTAGTAAGATTGTAGCTGTAACAGTGAAACTTCAAGCACTGTAATTTACTACCTGCATCTTACTTAATCAGCACAAAAATATACATACAATATACTCTAACTTATTGACAAACAAGGAAAAGCTATTGTAGCAGTATATTACACTGACTAGGAATACTAGAGTCATGACACTGAAAGTAGACCCTCCCACCCCCATCAACAGATGTTAAATTATCAATATACTTTTTATTACGAACTGATACAAAACTTGTCAATACATAATGTTTAACTTAACCAAACTTTCAAGCAACTTTACCACTCATTGTCTCCAATACATATGTATTTTATAGCACCCAGCTCCAACAGATATTGAGCAATTCCAAGTACTATTTCAGGAAACTCCTACTTTTCCTGAACTTTTCAAGCACTGGCTACAATTCCAGCTTTTTCCACAGCCTTATGAATCATTGGTACTCTTAATCAAACAAACCTGTCTCTTCTGAGGGTCTATGGGCACCCTGTTACCAGCTTCATCCATCCTGAAGTCTGGTACGTGATCTTCTGAAGGAACAAGATCAGCAGAGGAAAGGTAAGTATTCAGGGTATCGAGGACAAACTTGGCGCGGACAAACAAGTTATCTCCCTTCTTGTTTGGAATGGTCTGTGTGATGCTGTATACAGTAGGACCATTTCCCCTGAACTTCCCAGCGTTTTTGTACCTGAAATATATTGACAGGTAGATAATGAAAAGTTTACATACTGAAATGACCTGCAGTTTGCTGCCTTGACCTGCACTCGGACCATCTACAGTGTACGACCCTCATTTCATTTTTGAGAACTTGGCAGGTATGTGTACCACACTGTACAGCGACAAAAAGTTAACATATTAGAAAACCAGTAAAAAACAATGTATGTTGACGAAATTTTGGAGGATTTTGTAGGGGTTAAATATAAGCATGTTTAAATGTTGATTTCTGGTCCTTATAACCAGATAATATGAAAGTGTATATATACAATTATAGTTCAGCATGGTAGTTATGAAAGCAATATATTTTGTTTCAATCAGCATATCAACTAGTAGAAATAAAAACAAGTTTCATTGACTGTGATATGGTGTACCAATTTGAGTACTAATCATGGCCGAAAAACGGATGAGTTTTGCATTCCATTTTCAGTAACTAATCAAAACTTTTTCTGAAAATGAACAACCACAGGTAGTCTTTGTCAAGAATCAAGATTCCAGATACAAGATCTGAATTTCTAAATATCACTGAAAAACTGTACCAATTGTGGTAATGTGACGTTAGCTTGCTTGACCACACAGTACACAGAGGTAAAGTTAAACAAGATTTTATGTATGTACACAATCGAGCCGTTCAATAGGCCCTGGAGAGTGGGATTCAGCAGGCCTATTCTCTCATGCATAGGTTAACATTTTATGTTAAATACATAACCAGGGATTTAAAGACCCTTGCGAGTGTGTTTCCAACTCCCCAAAATGAGCTTTGACACATAGATTTCAGAGGACAATCTAATTACCATATGTTTGACACTCCAAAATTCTATTTGACTTCTGAAATCATTGAATTTCAAGGGTCATTGAAAGCCTTGATAGTGTAACTTTTAATCAACCCAAAAACAGTATTTTTTAACTAAAATGAATATTGGTTCATACCTAAATCCAACTTTGGCAAATGCCAGAGCATGGCCTGTCCTACAATCAACATTCCGAGGGAACTTCGTCTTCGCATGATCACATACAGACCTTTGTAAAGAGAAAAAAAACACACAAATCTTTTATCATTTCTACTTAGAAAAGAACATACCTGTCATGATTATAATCCAGATACTACACATTACCACAACACATTAAAGGTGATCACCACTTACTTGTTGAACACCACCAGTAGGAACCTTTTATGCGGCCTCAGCTGGGTATATCTCACCAGTGTGGTAGTCTTCCCAGTACCTGTCACCAGAAGCAAACAATATATTACAGCTCGTACAACAGTAACAAGAGGCCCAAGAGGGCCTGTATCGCTCACCTGAATATTTAAGCAGTCATAGCATAATATTCTCATTAAATATTATATTGCACTAAAAATATTTCCCTCTCAAACTTTTTTGGCTCCATCTGTTAAAACTACCAGCAAAATATTATTATAAGATTCTATGATTTTTGATTCTTCTTCAGAAGTTGCTTGACATATTTTTCCCTGTGACCTTGTAAGTAGGTCAATGTCATTTTCCTTCTCAAATTGGTTAGCTCTATTCTTTAAAGCTACCAGCCAAATCTTATGAATCCAATCCTTTTACTTCTTAAATACAAATCCTTTAAAATGTTGTTGACCTCTGTGACCTCTAAAGTAGGTTGAGGTCATTTTCATTCGCAAACTTTGGTGAGCTCTATCCCAGGGAGTCACCAGCCAGATATTATAATTTTATGCCTTTTAATTCTTCAGAAGAAGTAGTTTGCACTATCTGACATATTTGAATGCTGTAACCTTGAAAGTAAGTCAAGGTCATTTTCATTCGCAAACTTTGTTTGGCTCTTTCCCAGGAAGCCACCTGCCAAATATTAATATTCTATACCTTTCAATTTCTCAGAAGAAGTCGTTTGAAGTGTCTGACACATTTGATCCCTGTGACCTTGAAAGTAGGTCAAGGTCATTTTCATCCTCAAACTTTGTCGGGCTCTATCCCAGGAAGCGATCAATCAAATATAAAGATTCTATACCTTTCAGTTCTTCAGGAAAAGTCATTTGAAGCTTTAGACATATATGACCCCTGTGACCTTGAAAGTAGGTCAAACTAATTTTCATTCTCAAACTTTGTTGGGCTCTATCCAAGGAAGCCACCAGCCAAATATAAAGATTCTATACCTTTCAATTCTTCAGAAGAAGTCGTTCGAAGTGTCCGACACATTTGATCCCTGTGACCTTGAAAGAAGGTCAAGGTCATTTTCATCCTCAAACTTTGTCGGGCTCTATCCCAGGAAGCCATCAATCAAATATAAAGATTCTATACCTTTCAGTTCTTCAGGAAAAGTCATTTGAAGCTTTAGACATATATGACCCCTGTGACCTTGAAAGTAGGTCAAACTAATTTTCATTCTCAAACTTTGTTGGGCTCTATCCCAGGAAGCCACCAACCAAATATAAAGATTCTATACCTTTCAGTTCTTCAGAAGAAGTCGTTTGAAGTGTTTGACACATTTGACCCATGTGACCTTGAAAGTAAGTCAAGGTCATTTTCATTCTCAAACTTTGTTAAGCTCCCACCCAGGAAGCCATCAGCCAAATATGAAGATTCTATACCTTTTAGTTCTTCAGAAGAAGTTGTTTGAAGTTTTTGACATATTTGACCCCTGTGACCTTGAAAGTAGGTCAAGGTCATTTTCGTTCTCAAACTTTGTAGGGCTCCTACCAACAAAGCTTTCAGCCAAATATCATGACTCTAGGCCTGTCCGTTCTTCAGAAAAAGTTGTTTAAAGGAAAAGTTGACGGAGGAGGACAGACGACCGACGCCGCACCATGACATAAGCTAACTTGCCCTTCGAGCAGGTGAGCTAATAAAGGAATCAAAGTGAAATCAGTATGGTCAGGTGGGGTAATATACAGCAGAAATTGGACTGTGAAAATACTGCAAGATTTAGACATTTCCCAGACAGATACAGCATCTCAAGATATAGCCTTCACAGGAGATACTCTCATACAAAATTACACAATTTTAGGTGGAAGAGTATAGGAAATATTCCCCAGACAAATTGACACATAGTTTGACAGAAGGATGAACAGAAAAAGTGCAATCCTACAGTCACCTTCATTAGAACTGGTGAGGGACTAAAAATAATACATTATAAAAGCTGATAGATGGTACAGTGATAACTGGTTCAGCTCAATACTGTGATTAAACGTCAGCTTTGGAATCCATCTATAAACTGTAAATGATCTCAGCTTACCTGCAAAAGCGACAATCTTGGCTATTTCTTCTGGCTGACAATCATGATTTACCACTCTCATCTGTTCATGGGTCAGCTTCATGCTAGTCTCTGCACAGCTGCAAAAATCCTTGCCATTAGCAAAAACTTAACAAAGATTGTGAGATATTATAGGGACAAAAACAAATGATTTCAAATTAACATATATGTAGGGCTGGAGCAAAATGACAGTATGTTTGGCAACTGGAATTGAACAATTAAGATACATGTATTAATTACAGGTTTTTCTTAAATCACATGATACAAAGATAACTTAATCACATAAGAAAACAAAAACATATCAAGAGATATGACATTCAAAATTAGAATTTCTTAGTTTTCCTGAAAATTCCAGTCCAGTTTACAGTTGTTAGAACTGTAAAATGTGTTGACATTCTCCAGAACTGAGAAAACCCAATAACTGGAAGGAAGATAACTCTAGTTACTGATTACTTACCCATACTTGACCATACACTGCTGGCCAGATCTCCCACTGAGAGTCCCTTTCAGATCCCCCAGAGTGGCAGCTGATGCATTCTCATACAAGTACAGTGCATAGAACAGCCGGTAATGAATTCTAGAAAGAAAGAAAAAAAACTTTTAATACTTAACTTAAGGTAATAGGATTGTGTCGCCATTCCTCAGTAGAATTTCTTCAAATTTACTAGTTATATTGGTTTGAAGGAAAGAACATTTTCTGCCACAAAAAAAATATAGGTTGTCATAATTTTAAGGAATTTAAATGGAAATTTATGTAAAAAGGAGTGACTTTTAAAAAAATAATTAAAGACACATTTTTTGGCAAAATAATGTCAATAAAAATGATACTGACATAGATTGGTGTTGCATTAATGTTTATCAATTACATAAATGCTGAAATCATGTCAAATAATTTATCTATAAACGATTAAAAATTGACATTTTATAATAAAACCATATGCACATAGTAATTGCAGGTAAGAGTTATCTTCCTTGAAAAACTTCACAGTAGTGAAATATGTAGCCGGTTTCCTGAAGTACAGAAAAATGGATACATGTAACTCATTGATAAAACAAAAACCTGAATTAATGCCTACATTGCTTTGAAATACTTTAATATTGAGATAAAACACTGTTCTGTCAATAATAAACATACAATATTCATCAGTTTAATATTAAACATTAGAATATGCGGAAATTTTAATACTGTCTCCCTACATTGGATTTTCAACTAGGGATGTACTTACTACTTCCGATTATCAATACACTCCTATGACCTTAACATTAAAACTGAGATGGTTAAGCATGCACTGGGCTATCATGGCATCAAAATGAAAGATAAAATGGTGCAATATCATTGAAAAACATTGGAGTTTTCAAAATCCAATTAACAAGATGACAATATGAGTGCCTTCCCTTCTCCACATCATAAAGTATATAGGGCGCTATATAAATGATGTATATCAGTATAGAGAGGGGCTGCAGGGTTGAATCAAATTTCACATGTCATGACAAATAACATTCAAAAAATGTCCAGTAGACATTCTTTTTTGTGTGTGTTATAATTAAAGAAAATTAAAATCCTGTACATTTCGAAGGGAAATAGATATAAATACAAAACAAAGAACACACCCACTGAAGGGCCCTTTAGGCCATTTTTTTTTGAAGATATGGAGAAATGCTGCGAGGCGGTAGAGACACTCCAGCACTTCCTGTGTCGTACAGTCAGACGTGGGAGATGTCAGACTGTGGAGGACCTCTTGTATTTCCAGTACAGAATCTGCCAGGATCACCAAACATGTGATTATACTCCATGGATTAGCTTCCTGCAAAACAAGTTTTTTTTTATCTGGATTATCATTTAAAATTTATAATTTGCTTCTTTCAATTCTACTGCACCGTAGGTCCAATAAATGAATTAACAACAACATGTGCAATATAATTTGTTACAACAACAATACAATGATGGACATTAAGTGGCTTAAACCAATGGCAAATAGAAGTCTTTGTTTTTGCTAAGCTTTTCTTTATTCTTTACTCTACATAAAACATCCAATGAAGAAACATTTATGAAACCTTGCGTTGTTCAATTAGATAAAATGTAATCTAAAAGGTGGAAGTATGTAAATCCCATTGTATGGATCGAACCCTGGCAATGTTCTGACTCAGTAGCACCCTGACCTTGCTGACTATGCACTGTGGCACCCTTTCCTCTAGAAGTGCCCGGGCCCACTGGTACTTGGGGAGAGACTGTAGACACTGGGTCATGTTACTGGACGTCACTGGCTTGATGTCCCTCATGTAACTAGAACAAACACAAACAGCATTTATTATGTAGTAATTAGAATATTAAGTTATGAGGTATTACTTTAATGATATAGATCACATATGATGATGTTGAGGTCCTGTATCTGATTTCACCAAATATTTTATCTAAGATTGTCTCCTCAATTAAAATGTCCTGCTTTAAGCCATGGAAAAGATTAAGCTCAGGAACACCCATCAAAATGGAGCAAGACAAGAGCTATGCTGAGAAGTGGACACCAGACAAGAGCTATGCTGAGAAGTGGATGTCAGACAAGAGCCATGCTGAGAAGTGGACGTCAGACAAGAGCTATGCTGAGAAGTGGACGCCAGACAAGAGCCATGCTGAGAAGTGGACGTCAGACAAGAGCTAGGCTGAGAAGTGGACGTCAGACAAGAGCTAGGCTGAGAAGTGGACATCAAGTACAACTTTGATAACAAGAATTAATATGGCAAATGCACAACTGGTATGATGTATTACAATGTCAGTATATGTGATCAACACATGCTAACTAACGTATACAGTATATGGTATTATATGGTAATCTATATGAAAAAATAATGGTATGCGTACATGTGTCTTCCTGAATGTTGACCCCTGTTGTAGAGTATATAACATAAAACAAAGGTTTTATCATGGTGTAAATTCTGTGATAAGACATGTGATATCTATAACATCTTAAACAACCACCGGAAGGTATGTGATAAAAGCAAGACCACACACTTGTGCTTTTCAAACCAATCAGAAAGCACTCATTTATTAAGAGGACGTATATATTCACTTGTGCGCGGAGCGCACTCGGTAATATATATTTGTCCGCGCAATAAACTCGTGCTTTCTGATTCGTTAGAAAAGCACAAGTGTGTGGTCTTACATATTTACCTGATAATTTGGGTCAAGAACACTGAAGGAGACCTCATGTTGTTTGTCTTCAGAACGATCATCATTTCATCCGTGGAACCCTCCACATTCTTCTTTAGCTTGTGGTAACGTTTCTTCCATGGCATAAACTATAAAAGTGAATATATAACTATGATTCCATGAAATAAACTATAAATGTGAACATATTATAAACTACGTTGTTGTGGGTCTGCTGGATAACCTAATTACTTGGTAGTGAAGCGGACGTAAAACCTATCAATCAATCACTCATAACTACTTTGTAAAATTGCAAATCACTTCCATTGAAATACACGTTTTACATTGTATTTTAAAATATAAACTGCCATTAAATTGCAGGTATACAAATATGAATCATCTTGCAATACTAGTACTTGTGAAAGTTGGTTGCGAAACAAAAACAGTCGGATTTAAACCATCACAATCAGAATTGATATAAAAACAAATTTCACCCTTGCTACACAACTACATTATGTATTATAGGGTTTTAAATATTTATGAGAGAGTTGCATTATGTACAGTTAGAAAAAAGTAAAATGGACCTTTTCTGATGAGATGATCTCGTTCCAGCGCTTACACACTCTGTTGCTATTTAGGCACAAGTCTAACATTGGTAAATGACAAAAGATATGCTGCATCACTTCAGGGGGCAATCTACTGAAATAATCTATCTTCTCTTCCGCCATCTTACACACTGTTCCATTTCCCAGAAGTCCAAATGTGTTTGTTGTGGCAGAGTCAAGGGCTTGCGACATACATTCATCATCTGAGGATGAAATAGATTCAACCCCCATCCGTATAAGCTGGTCAGTTTTAGGTTCCTTTTTTAAGTATACACTCTTTTTGGGTGAATTGAACCTATTAGAACCAGAACTTCCTGATAACGACTTTCCAGGTTTCAGGGTGGGATTGTCAACAAGGGTTTTTTGTCCTGCAAATAGCTTCTTGACAGCCGCATTTTCTTTGTACTCTTTTAGTGAACACTTTGTAGGGGAATACCCCGAACTGCAGCTGGCTGGTGATGATTTCTGACAGGAGCGAAAGTTAGGGCTTTCATTGTCACTAGTGAACATAACAGAGGATCCTTCAATCTTCTTAACAGGTGTGTAACTTGAGACAGTTGTACCGTAAACATAGGCATCATCCTGACTGCTTTTTTGACTACCTGGAGAACTTACAAAGAAATTGGTCAATTTCTGTTGATTTGGTAGATTCTGTTGTCTGTTATGTTTTGAGGGAGTGTTCCTATGTGAATTCCTTAGACTAGAATTTAACTTCAATGTTTTGTTACTTGATGTCATTCTATTATTGGAATTACTAATATCATTGCTAGATCCTACTGTACTCCTAGATTCTTGATTATTTTTCAGTCTGAAATCATGACAGTTAATTACAGTAAAGGCTGTACTATTGTCACTGCCTTCCATTGGCACAGGTACAGTTGTAACATATGCATCTGTATGTGGCGTACTAGTATCATCTTGATTTGTTGAAATACAGTTTTCCTGTAAATCTGCAAATTCTGGTAGAATACTATTTCCACAGAGAAGAGCTGCACTTCCAAAACCACCTGGCGTTTTGTTATGGTAAGCATCAATCAGTTTGGCTCCAAAAGATGGCGAGTCATTTTGTGGCGATGGCAATGTTGCAGAAGCTTTTCTTTGACTTTGTCCACCCTGTGATGATTTTAGCCGAGGAGTCCTTGGATTTAAGTAAGGTTTTGGCTGCGCTAAAGATGTGATTTGAGATTCAAAGGGATTTGATAAAGGTTGCATGCCCTCTTTCGTTTGGGCATGTGCAAAACAGTCTTGTACTTCCATGTGAATTCGTCTTTTTTTCGTTGGATTCTCTTTTCTATCACATGACATATCATCAGACGGCGAATCTTCTACTTTCTCCATGCTATTGTATTACCAGCTAAATCTTCTTAAGTGATATAACAATTTGTAACTTTTCAACGACATCACATGTTAGCTTGAATCGTTTACTTTCACTTTCCACTTGTAGTTAACATCCCGGCTGTGTAACGATCTGAAACATTAAATGAAGAACGTAACTCGTCTACATAAATATTTAAAATCATCAACGTATTTGTTTATGAACAATATATAGAAGTTGGAAGTCTGTTAAGAAGGAAAAATATTGAAGTCACCTGTGTCAATTTTGATTTCATTCTTCCGCCATATCTGTTGTGAGCACACTTTAAAACACAATCCGGAAACCGGGTACTGTGAAATCCGGATATTATTTTTTTTGTACACAAATTAGTTACGTTGTTTTTTGAGAGAACTTTTTTTAATTCCCCTCAAATCTATTAAAAAAGTTTTTTGATCGGAAAATGGTGCAGAAATTAAAAAAAAAAATGAAACATAAACATACTTTTAAAGAGCACTGATAGTGACAAGGCTCATTTTTATGTTGAAATCAAAACCAAATCAAACTCCTCCTTTGCAAAAAAAAGAAAGAAAGAAAATAGAAAAAAGGGATTTCCTGGTTATGATACAGGTGTCTTGTGTACATAACGTATTTATATTCTGTTATTCCTGGATGTGTGTATGAGATTGAATCGCAAAACAAATTCGATAAATAGTTCCTTCAAATTTACAGTTAAATCGGAAAGACATTGCCATTAAGTGATATCATTATAACGAATTAGTGATACATCACACGTGTAGATCCTACTACACACTTTTAATGTATTAAATTCCATGTTATTTCTTTATTGTGTTTCATCACTTAATGAGGCTCCATCCTTTTGCAATGAACCAGCGGAATTCGTTGAAACTTTCACATAATGGTTAATTTTTACATAGGGTGTCACAATATACAGGTATATCGTATCGTACCACAATACAGAGATGAAATATTGCTGTATCGCAATATTTTTCAAAGGCATATTTTTATGTATCTGCTTGGTGTTTTAACTTTGCCAATAGCTACAACTTCTAACAGATATGCCAATAAGCATAAAGCAGGCTTTTAATAGTTCAAATTTTTGTAATCGATGGTTGGTAATTTTGACAAAAATCTTAATTCATATTATATATGATTAAGTTTGATATCATTCTGACAACAGCTTATTATAAAATTGACCACATCCTTCCTATGACACTATCGGGATACGTATCGCAATATATTAATTATGTATTGCAATATATCGTGATACACCCTTAGCGTATTGTGACACCCCTAATTAGTTATGTATATATGTAGAAGTGATCTTATGAAAATCTAAGCATTCAGATAGACTGGGGATTTTTGGGGAAAAAATCTTCTTGTTGGATGTGTGATATTAATAATTGAACATGTGTCACTCCAAGTTTAAACAAAATATTATGCGCTTTTTTTCTGTGTACTTTTATCATATGAGAATATGGTCTCTAAAATCAATGTTGAAGATCTACTAGTGATTGGTTTTCTAAAAAAAACATGCTGCAAGCGCATTTTTTTACCGCAGCAAGGCGGATTCATCAACTCCGAACAGAGAGGGCGATGTTTCAGGTGGTTGTAATGTAAATGTTCAGGCAAAATAATGATGTTTATTTAGACCCGAAATCTAAATTTCCGATAGCCTACTTTTAAAAAGGGATTTTGTCTATCCACAAGTATTCGAATTGGTAATATCATTTATAAACGTTATTAAGTATGGTCATAACAGCACCCAATTCACCGTTCACTAGTCAAAGAGGATCATAATAACTCCCTATTTATTTCTTTTTCCCCCTTAAAAGACATCCCATTTAAATCACATGCAGGCATTTATTTCTGTCAATAAAATTGGTCCTGACAATAAGAAGTCACACCCTACTCATATAAACTATACCAAATATTTTATATGAGTAGGATGTGACTTCTTATTATCATGACCATTTTTATTGACCGAAACAAATTATGCCTGTGCATTGAATCCATCACAAAACTGTGGCACAAAAAACTATAAGTCTGCCGGTAGGTTTACTGACGTTAAATCCATTTGTTGTGAAGTTGAACTTGCCATGGTAATACAATATCTTTATAAACATTAACTAAGAGTAATTGATTCAGGAAGTCCCACAAAGAAGTCACTCCGACTTACAAATCCACAACAGCGAGGTTATACGTCCATTAGACTACATGTCCACAAGGGCTGTCGTCCTAAATTTCTCTTTTACGTTGCATATTTCCAATGTATGACGAAAAGGCCAATATCTTTTCTTTTAATGGAAAGTCGTGTAGTTATTAATTCTGATAAACATTTAGGACTTCATTTCACACCAATATACCATGTTGTGATCGCATACAAGAGTACATACATATGATTATTAAACCAAAGTCCCCTACTAAACGTTCAGCATTTAGGGTAATTGTAATGTAGTTGACCGGTATAACTGGACCGGTTATAAAGCTATGATGGGTGCCTTCGGCAAAGTAACACTGTGAAGTCGGCATCAAAACTGCGCAATCGCAAAAAGGAAAATACACCAACATACCGCCTTCAGCCCGTGCAAGTGTACATGTCGCATACATTAAACATATATGGAGGCTATTCTGGAAAATTGTTCGTAGAATGATTAAAACATTAGATAACTGTAAAATTTCACCTTCCATCAAAAATTAAGCTGGGAACATCGAAATGACAAATTTAGGTAAAGCCATCATCATAAATGATTACTTTGTTTCTACTATCGACGATACTTAAATTGATGTACCTAGGGTAGAGCTTAAGACGGACGCCACTATATCTGACATACCTTTCCAATTAGATGACATTACAGACATTTTGAAATCCTTAAATAGTGGTAAATCTGTTGGTAGCGACACAATCAGTCATAACATGTTAAAAACAGCACATGTAATAGCTTTTTCTTTATCACTAATATTTATATAGATCTTCTTTGGAAACTGGAATCTTTCCAAACCATTGGAAACAAGCGTTAGTCATGCCATCATTTAAAAAGGAGGTAAAGAAAATTCTGCCAATTATAGACATATATCATTACTTAGTTATATTGGGAAAACGTCTTTAATTCTTTCTACATGCTATTTGTCTGTCCAGCCAATAAAGTGCAATATACATTAATGTAAATCTGATCTTATTTATCACTGCAGGTATACAATAGATAATTTATTGTTTATTTTTTTTTTGTTACTGCATATGCTTCCTCAACTTTATGTGTATGATGTCAGGATGTGAGAGTCATGTGACATGTGGAAGGTGATCTTGTTTTCTTGATAATAACAGTGAGGATGATGATCACATGTACATGATGCAAGTATTTATGGTAATGACCAGTGTTGATTTGTATTTTTTCTCAGTATGATTATAACGATACAATGATATTGCTTTGATGATGATGATGATGAGATGATGATGGATGATAATGATGATGATGAGATGATGATGATGATATGATGATGATAATGATGATGATGAGGTGATGATGATGAGGTGATGATGATAATGATGATGATGCATTGTATGAAATATGATGAGATGTTGTTTTGTATTAAAAAAAGTGATGATGAAGGTGATGAGAATGATGATGAGGATGGTGCATGTCTGTGAGATGTGATGGTAATGAGGCTATTGTTTATGATGGATGATGCTTGATGAATGATGATTATGATAATTGCTAATTTGATGAAGATGTATATTGCACATTAAAATGAAAATAAAAATCAAATTAAAAAAAAAAATATTGGGAAAGTTTTTGAACGACTAGTTTTAAACTAAATAATAAATTATTTATTAGAAAATTCATTGATATAGAAATATCAATCGGGTTTCCAGTCTTGACATTGTACAGTTCATCAATCGATTGAAATGTATCATACTTTGTGTGAAAATCTAGAAAAAAGACATCCTACATGTTACTTTTTTTGCGATATATCCAAAGCGTTCGATCGTTTGTGGCACAGGGGACTGAAAGTAAAACTAGCAACTTCTAAAATAATGGACGAATTTCACAAAACTTTACAGATATAATAACTACCACCTGAAGTTGTTCATCCAGGTAAAAAAAAAATCAAAACTATAGGGCCAATTTCAACGGAAGTTTTCAAATGGTAACTGCCCCCTGATATTGTGCATCCAAGTAGTATGTTTTCATTCCGACCCTTTAAAAAGGAGTTATGGCCCTTTGTTGAAAAAAAGAACATTTGTCTGCCTCGTAAACTACTGTGCCGATTTCAATTAAAGTTTACAGATATGGTGATTACCCCCTGATGTAGTGCATCAGGGTAGTATTTTTTCATTTCGACCCTTTTTAAGGAGTTATGACTTTTTGTTAAAAATCTTTGTCTTGACAACTCTTCGATCCTTAACTACTAGGCCGATTTCAGCTAAACTCGTTTATCTGGGCAAAGACGTATAAAGTCATGTGTTATATACGTCTCTGATCTGGGCTAACAAGACCTGCAAGTATATTTTGGCATGGGAAGGGAGTACAGGAAGTATGCCAGTGACCTATATACATAAATAACTACTGGTGGGAGACTATGGATTGCTTTGCAATGCTTTACAGTTCTGGTTTATATACTTTGTAAGCCTAAGGCTAACTAATACCCCCTCTCCTATTATAGGAGAGGGGGTATATTAGTTAGCCTTAGGCTTACAGTTCTAGTTATTATTTTATTTTGTCTTTAGCCCATTCATTAAACAAAATATGAAGGAATATTATTGTACATCGTTAACTATGAACAAATAAAGCAGGTAAAACTATCCTTGTCTGACTGCCCACACAATAAACAATATTATTTCACATTTGATTTTTGTGACCTTGAACTAAGGTCAAAGTCATCAACATTTACAAAACTTAAATTCATTCACATGAACAACCTACTTGCCAACCAGCAAGACCCCCTGGGCCTTTGTTCATGAAGAAACACAAGTTAAAGGAAAAGTGGAATCAAAAGTGTTATATGACAAATTTACCGGTTGTCATTTTTTTGAAATTCCTAACGTTGAAAGATATAATTGGTAGCGAACTTTTAAGCAAGTATGAATAATAGACTCGTTTTAGGACTATGTGAATTAACGTGACAAAGATGGAAATTTTCTCATCAGTAATGAAATTTCACATATTTTTCTGCTTAAATCTTCGATAAAAAGAATAATTCTTTCTATTAATAGAATTCACTATAATTATGTATATCGTTAACTATAAACAAATAAAGCAAGGAAATAGCATGACCCTGGGCCTTAAAAACTTGAAAAAGAAGATTGTTAGAGCTTTTAACCAATGTTGACCTTTGACCCCTGACTAGCACTTAAAGTTGACCTTAGACCTCATTACTGTATTAAAGAAAAAGATTTACACAGCTGGTCAACATAACATACCCAAGTATTATGACTAGTCCAAATGATTCTTAGGATATTGTTGTTTGAAATTTTTAACATATTTAACCCGTTACCTTAAAAGGAGGTCAAGATCATTTTAATTAGGAAGCTGCATAACAATCCATCCCAGGTACCTACTGGCAAAATATTATGACCCTGAGCCTTATGAAACTCCTACTGGCAAAATAGCATGACTCTGGGCCTTATGGAACTTGAGAAGATTGTTAAAGCTTTTAACCCATGTTGACCTTTGACCCCTAACTAGCACTTAAAAGTTGACCTTTGACCTCATTACTTAATAAAGAAACAGAATCACACAGCTTGTCTGCATAACATACCCAAGTATTATGACTCTAGTCTAAATTGTTCTTAGGATATTGTTGTTTGAATTTTTGATCCCCGTTACATTGAAAGTAGGTCAAGGTCATTTTAATTAGGAAGCTTTATACCACTCTTTCCCAGGTACCTACTGGCAAAATATAATGACCCTGGGCCTTATGGAACTTGAGAAGAAGATTGTTAAATCTTTTAACCCATGTTGACCTCTGACCCCTGACTAGCTGTAAGCACTTTAAGTTGACCTTTGACCTCATTACTGTAATAAAGAAAAAGAAAAAGATTTGCACTGCTAGTATACATAACATACCCAAGTATCATGACTCTAGTCCAAATGGTTCTTAGGATATTGTTGTTTGAACTTTTTACCAAATTTGACCCCTGGGACCTTGGAACTAAGTCAAGGTAATTTTAATGAGTAAACTTTATAGCACTCCATCCGAGGTACCTAATAATAATAAATGATAATTTGAGGTTCTTATATATCGCTTTATCACAACCTAGTTTGAAGGTCGACTCAAAATGATTAACAAATTATTATCCATACATGGTTATAGGGCCTTTGCAACCAGCCAATACTAGTCTCACCTCCCTGGGGAGCATACAGCCGGAGCTGCCATTTCGGCACTAACAGCTAGCATTCAACAATTCTAGCACTGCCCAACCACATACTCATTTACAGCCGAGTAGACTGGAACAAGTGGAGTAAAGTATCTTAAGCTACAACACAGTGCCGTGCCGTGGCTCGAACCCGCAACCCTTTGGTCACGAGCCCGGCATCCTACCACTAGACTACCGTGCCTCTTAATGACCAAATAGCATGACCCTGGGCCTTATGGAACTTAAGAAGATTGTTAAAGCGTTTAATCCATTTGGACCTTTGACCCCTGATTAGCACTTTTAAAAAGTTGACGTTTGACCTCATAACTTAATAAAGAAAAAGATTTGCACTGCTGGTTTTCATAATACACCCAAGTATCATATGGCTCAAGTCCAAATGTTTTTTTTTGATATCGTTGGTTGAAATTTTTAACATATTTGGCCCCTGTGACCTTTATAAAACTCCATCCCAGGTACAAATATCATGACCGTAGGTCCTCGAGTTCCTCAGAAGTTGTTCAAAAGAAAAAGTTGACGGACAGAAGACAGACGTTGCAGTACGACACCTTATAATCCAAGAAATGGAATAAGTGCCTAGCTACAAAATATATGCCGAATTCAATCAAAATTTGACGAAAAACATAGCCATTTTTTTGGTTTTTGTTTTATTTCCTTTATTATGGCCAGAGGTTAAACGACGTAAAGTGCAAGAATTAATTACGGAAGGTTACTGCACATACTCGTTGTTTAGCTCTTCAAATTAAGTTTCACACGACTTCAGATGTTTTGAAGACGATAAACCTCCTCGATTATTTACTAGTCATTAAATTTTGAAGATTTTCGCGAAATACTAGCGATTTAGGATAAACTCGAGCCGAAGAGCATACAAGAAATAAATTTGGGAATATCATTAAAAACTAAATCACAAGGTGTTATTTTCAAATATATGGCCTAGTACGGTAGTCGGAGATGTTATTTGGTTTTAAAAGAATAATAAACTTCATCAAAAATTACAAATGCAACTCATCACATGAGTTCTTCTCTTCTTTAGGGTACAGGGGCTCCATCAATAATGATGATTATGCCCTTGGGATTCCTATCACAGAGGCATGAAAAAAGGGGTTATTTACAGTGATTAGTTTGGGGTTTTTTGGTGTGTTTTTTTTATACAAGGTCTAGATAAAAGGTAAAAGGTAAAAGCTGGTGTATATTTTTTGGTGTATATTTTTGCATGTGACCAGTGATTCAAGGGCTGCATAGGGTATGTGTGCCTTGAGGTACTCTGTACTGCTACTATGCAAAGGAGATTCCATTGTGCAATTGTGAGTTCTTTTTTATGTGGCGAGTTTATTTTTAAGTTGCGTTTTAGAAAACCTACTGACCTATTGGCATTGGCTGTGATGTTTTTAATATGTTTGTTCCATCGTAGATTATTTTGTTATGTTAAGCCTAAGTATTTGCTGGATTCTACTTCGTGTAATTAATTAATGTGTGGTTGTGGAGTTTGTAGTCAGTATATTTTGTTGCGTTTCGGTGTAATGTTGAGTATGTTGCATTTGTCAGGGTGAAATTTCATTAGCCAGACCGTTGATAGCATTCAGTCTTATACTGGATCAGACACATGATTTGCGCTCAAAGACTAGCTCAGCGGTGTAATTCGCACAAGTACAAATCACTCTCGCGATCAGGCCTCGCATATCCGTTCGTTTTCATCATGTCCAGTTTTTTTGGTGCTGGCTATCATTACAGAATGCTCTGTTAAGCCGCACATTATCATCATTTCAGTTTTTCAACCGATCAAATAAGAACAAAGCGTATCATAGATTTGTGTGTTAATGGTTGTGCATGCGGATTTTTTGTATGTTTCATTGTTCGAGTGTGCTTGCGTAAAAATGTTATGTGCGGCTTGAATGCAGTGGGAGTGCGTGTGAAAATATATTCACTCTCAGTTGAACTCTTGGCATTTTACTGCTCATTGCATATCTATCACAAACATTTTGGTCACTAAGACGCCATTGAACGGAAGTCCATTTCTAAACTAAACTTTGCGTCTGCGTCAGATGCTTTCTGGGAGAATTTCCAAATATAGTATCAAACTGTCCATATATATTTTGACGTCATTTGACTCATTCAGGCAGAAAACATTTGTGGAAGGGTAAGTTGAGAAATTTGAATGCACATGTTAACTGTTAAGAAAATTATGTTAGTTTTGTGTTGTTTATTACTGTCGCCGGCCTTACTAGAATCGGGCATGACTTTGGAGAGATTTGACATTTGGGTGTGAACCTCGGGGAAGGTGGGGTACGTATTAACTTGAGGAGTCGGAGTCTGGGTTGGTCAAAAACAAGCCAGACTTGAGCCAGTCGAATTCATCGACATACACTGGTTTCTCGTTAACGAAGGTTATTATGGGATTTTGTACCATATATATAAATGTATCCAGCTTCCAATTGTTTACGAAGTACAACACACAAATATAGCGGCGGTTCGTTTTGCCGGAGGATTAGATGGACTGACCCATATGTCAACTTCCTCCATCTCGACCTCAAATGGCATTTCCTGTTCAGTCACTACTACTTTGGTAGTTAATTGGGGATATCCAACAGTGAAATATTCTTTCTTTTACAGTGTGGTTTAGAGATAAATAGATATTACAGTATAATTATATCATGATCCATGTCTATGATGAACTCAAACTTTCTTAGCTGAGCAAAAAATACAGAATGTAACTGATCATCAACATAAAAAATATCAATATAGTTATACTTCCAGACAACTTGAAATTATAAAAATTAACTTTACTGTCTTGATCCTATTTTATAGATTTATTATGTAAAGTGATTGTTAAAAATATTTTGAACCCCACCTCGGAAGTAAAATACAAAGACTAAGGGTACTAGCGTATGTGGTTAACCTATTTCAGGGATTGGCTGTATATTAAAATGCTACATCAAGCACTTCAATGTAAAGAATGCAGGCGCGTAGCTAGCCTATAAAGAATGTGGATTCAAAATAATCTAGGGGGGGTCAGGGGGCATGCCCCCCCTGAAAATTTTGAAATAAATGGTGCAATTTGGTGCGTTTTGGGGCCTCCGGAGAGCTTTCTTGACCAACGAAAATCCATTTATTTTAGCATAAAAATGGAGATGAATAGCTTTACTTTCGTTTATTTCAACTAGTCTACATTTCACAGCAAGTCTAACTTGCGGCCTTTGCTGGCCGCAAACTCGTTAATGATAATATCAATATCTATTTCCATGTGTCTGTAGGCGTGCAACAGGGCTAGTCCAGACATCCGTTCTGTGAGCATCGTTGATCTCATGTAGTTTTTCAGGCGTCTCATGATACTAAACTGCCTCTCGGCGGTAGCGGTAGACACTGGCATCGTAATTAGTACAACTAGACAGGTGAAGATGTCTGGATACAGAGTCTTGTTCGTAGCCTTCAATGTGTCAGTAAGATTTGAGGGTTTTGTCCCCTCCAGCTCCCATCTTACTTTCCATCGAGAAACCTCATTTCGGAAGGCTTCCCGATCCCCACTGAGGTCACTCTCATACTCCTGGAAGATGGAATCCTCGTGATCTCGGCTGAGCTCAGGAAGAAGGCTTGGGATGAGATATTGAGCCTTAAACCTCTCATTGCTGGATACAAGACGGTCTTCTAGTTCCACAACTAGATGATCAAGAAATGGATAGAACAATGCTCTTTTCCAGTATTCCGAAACAGAGTCGGCAGGCACGTTGCCACGGTGCTGTTGGCGTCGAGCTGTTCTAGGCTTTGAAGGCTCGACTCCTTGGTCTTCTGCCATGGCAACTGCTTTGTCGTAAAGCCCATCCCACACAGCATCATCGGCTCTCTCTGCACGAAATGTGGCTATAAGAACTCGACTCTCCTTGGCTGCTTCGATCAAGTCGATATTCTGCTTCTGTAGCAGCTTGTTTAGAGGCATAACACCCTGGAGGACGAATTCAACCACAACTAGAGAGATGATGAAGTCGAACCCAAGGATACTGCATCTGTAGCTCCGTGCTTTTGAGTCTCCCTCTCGTTCTAGCACCTCCAGTGCACTTACAATTGATGTGTATGCAGCTTTGAAAGTGTAAAGTGCGTCAGCCCGACTAGCCCATCGCGTCTCACACAGACTTTGAAGACGTGTTCTCTTCTGCATCTCTTCCTGTGCCACGGGATCGTTGCCAAGCTCCTCTTTGAAAGCTAAAAGACGTTTGGCAGAGTACTTGAAAGCAAATCCGATTTGTTGTACTGTGTCCAACAAGTTTCTGACGAGTGCCTCTTTACAGGCATGCACAATTGACAAATTAAGGCTATGGGCTTTGCAGTGCACATACATTGCTTGGGGAACTACTTGCTGGACCCGAGCTTGCACACCTCGATGACAACCAGACATATTACTGGCCCCATCATACCCTTGTCCCCTCATCTTGGAGATGTCTAATCCTGCGTCCCGCTGCCCCTCAATAAACTTGTTAAAAAGAGCCTCTCCTGTTGTAGATTCTGCTTGCACAAATCCCACAAAGTCTTCACGCACGTCCTGTTCAGTTTCAGAATAATATCTTACACACATAGCAATTTGTTCCATAGTGCTCGCGTCAGTAGCTTCATCTGCAAGAAATGAATAACAAATAGCATCGTTGCACTGCTGAACTATCTTGCCTTTTATGTTATTTCCCAACAAAGTGATTAATTCATTTTGGATCATAGGCGAAGTGTAAGTAACCTTAGATTTAGAGGACAGGTGTGTTTTCAGGATTTCATCCCTGTTGGCCTTGTCTTTCAACAGGACAGTAAAGTTACTATTGTTGTCATCATGACCTCTAAGTGGAATATTTTGTCGACCGCACAGAATGATGACCTCTATAACAGATCTAAGCACCTGTCTATTTTTAGCAACAGTTTCGACTTTGTTTCTCGACAGTTGTGCTGTAATGCTTGCTTGTTTCCCTTCGATGATTTTCATAAAACTACTAGCACTAGCGCAGCAGCTATGATGACTCGAACCAGGCTCGGTATGTCTCTTGATGTACTTTCCAAGGTTAGACCATTTTGATACTGGGGTATTGATGAATGTTTTCTCCTTTGGAGATGAAGCACCAAACAAAATACAGGGAGCACAATACACTGAATTCTCGGAAACTGAATATCGAAGCCAGTCATACTTCTCTAGCCAATCTACCGAGAACTGACGCTTCGTTCCATACTCAATACTGAAATAATAAAATAAAGAAATAGTGTACGAACTTGAAATGGAACAATTTTGCAACCAAATACGTAGAAATCCGGAAAGCAGGGAAGCAAATGATTCCATTTTAATAGTATATATCTAGTATCTTACTAGTATACTTATGATACTGGTACTTCAATAACGTTATCAGATATATGAGTATATTCACTATACTTTATTCGTCTTAATTATATAGTAAACATGTCATTAGCGCGCTAATATAATTATAATGGAACCAAACATCGAACAAGTGGAAGAAGCAGTATATTAATATGGGTTTACAATCGAGTGGTAAGAGACGGGCTTGCGTCTATTTTCCCACATGTACCACTCACAAAAAGACCTCAACATAAACCATCGATTTTGAGACCTCGGGACTGTGTTTAGAGATTTTAACGGTATTTTTCTATACAATACTGGTTGACTAAACTACAATTTTCTATTGATCTGCAACCGTTATAACTTCACATCTTTAAATCAAATGAATCAGAATCAGTTTACCTTGACGGAAACTTAAAAGTTTTGGCCCATTCTTTGTTGTTTTGCAGCACTTTCACTTTTATCGAGTCATCTGAAGCCTTTGTTAACCTTGCTGGATCAGGATACAAGTCATCGGGACTGTACGCAATCCCCACGAGCTCATCTTTATCTAAAGTCATAGGTTCAGGACCCTCCTTCACACCAGACGTACCGGGCGCTATAAATATACATATGGAATACATATGACGATACTTGGACAAGTGTTAGAATTTTTGGTGCATAAAATTGACTATAGAATCAATTTGATTTCGAATATTTAAAGCATGGATTGCAATGAATGTAATGTAAAAGTTTGAAATCATACTGTCCTTGAATCTTGAAAAGTTTAAACAAAATTAAAAGTTACAATTGTTGTCATCATTAACTATACATGTATAACTTAACATGTACTGACTATTGTTTGTAGCTTTTTATGTTAAAAGCATGTTAAAGTAAACATACATGTACTAGGCTCGGTTGCATCGGTGCCTTTTTCAGACAGCCCAGTTTTTGGACCTACGCTGAAGAAGCTGTCAATTCTCTTCTGTGCCATATTTCTTGCGTAATTAGAACCTGGAAGAATAAATTGTGGCTCCGTACATGTATGAAATCGGAATACTTTTGACCTTTATGCGCTTCCGTAGATGAAAAAAATGACGAGCGTTGTGTTTACCAGAAATGTTTTTTTCATAAAAATTCCATGTATCAATATAACTAATCTACCAAGAAGGAACTATTTCAAAAATGCAGAGTAACTAATACGACAAATGCACCAGAATTTTTCACATTTGCATCATGAATTCACTGATTAAGGTTGGTTAGTTCAAAATGTTGTCAGTCTCGCTAGAATCGGTTCACAGACATGGTCAAACATGTCATTACTCAACAAACAGACCGAAACAAATAAACACTAGGCATACATAGTAACATTTTAGTTATAATTACCTCTTTTCTATCGCTGATTCTGCTGATGACTTTTTTAAGAACTCGATGTAAACATTTGTTTACATTTCGAAAATACGGCGCGTGCAAACTTCCGACTTTGAAGAGCTGCAAAGGCCGACAACTTTTCAAAAAAATACTACGGTATGGTGTACGATTTAGGCTATATGATTTATAAAGTATTCAGTGTGGTAATTATCAGATCTGGCGAACGCGGCTGAATTTCAAACCACATTTTTTTTACTAAAAAAAAATTTGTTGTCAAAATAATGTGGATTCAGCTGCGTACTCGCGTATAGGCAGCTACGCGCCTGGAATGTAATGTTTTTACTTTAATATGGCTGGATAAGATTGCACAGAACAGAGGAGTGCTACGTTGTAGTAAACAAAACGGATATATGAATAAACATTTTAGTCGAAATATTTAAACAAACTCTTACACAGTTCTTTTCAGAAGGGAAATTGTAACAGGGTTACCAGTGAAATAGCACTAACGAATGCCTCATGATTTTAAAGCATGTATTTTTTGCACCTGGCTGTGGTCCCAGGAAATATTCAACAATTTGAAAATGTAACGACTATAACCATATTCATCCCCTTGAAATACTAAAACCAGAACTTGTTGAAAATTATCATATGCCTCTTTCATATTTAATTATTAAACAAATTTTACTTGCATTAGAAAATAACCACTGACACTGTAGTCTAATTTCAATAAATAACCAGTATCTAACTTAATTTTGAGCTATTTTCATATCCTGATTTAAGTGTATTACTGGTAGTAACAGTATCTTTTTACTTGCAACAAATTAAAATTATGTACTGTTTAATTTTGATTCATTGTGTTATAGTAAGATTTTGTTATTTGTGTTTTTTTAGTTACTTGCATTGCCCCCTGATACCATCTCGGACCACAAAAGATGAGGGAGTACAAGCTAGTTGTACTAGGCAGTGGTGGTGTGGGCAAAAGTGCTCTGGTATGATAAAAATGGTTTGACTTTCACTTCTAGACAATCAGCGCATCACCCTTCTTTATTCCTGGTATACTGGAAATTATTGAAAGGATAATGTTATAAAAAACAAATGATTGCAGGTGTTGATGGATTTCCTGAGGATTAAGTGTATGTGCTTGGCCTAAATTCAAATACTGACATGTAATTAATTGCTAAAGGATAATCCCTATCTCATGATCACAATTTAAATGATTATTAAGAATGATGACAAATTAAGAAAAACGTGTTTTACTCTTCGTTATTCACTGTAGTAATTTAATCCAGTGACTAAAGATTGATGTTTGTTACTGAAAAAATAGGCTACTGCAATATGAGTATCTTGCCTATACTAAATATTAATCCCAACATTTCTGTTCTTTTTCAGACTGTTCAATTTGTACAGAATATTTTTGTTGAAAAATATGACCCAACAATTGAAGACAGCTACAGAAAAGTAAGTCGGCTCTATTTGTAGGCGAGCTCTTGCATCATTTATGGACAGAATATTTTATTTGATTGCCAACAAATTATGATTATCAGTTATTCAATATTTCAAATAAATGCTGTTGTAAATATAATATACATGTATTAAGTACATTTTCTGGCTAAATAGTTGGACATACATTTGAAATAATTTCTAGCTCAAATATTCATAAAATTATGACACTTAACGTTACATAAAGTTGTCTGCTATTTACAACAAGGGAAATAATTACGGGGTATAATTTCATTAGAAGATATGCTTTTACATTTCAAACTCATAATCTAGGTTTTAACACCAGTACTCTTACATAATACATAATCCAATTTATATCATTATATGATAGCTGACCACCACTAAAGTGGTCATTACATTAGCTGTGAAGTTTAATGGTGATCCATTTTGTTCTTCTCTTTAACAGCAAGTGGAAGTTGACGGACAGCAGTGTATGCTTGAAATCCTAGATACAGCTGGTACTGTAAGTAACCAACACAGTCAGTTAGTGTGAATATCTAATGGTTAATTAATTACAAGTTCTACAAGTGAAAGCTTATTTATTAAATCCCACAGGCTACATTCGTGTATCCGGTTGAAACGGTTGAACCTGTAAAGAAAACGACAGGTACAGATTTGGACTGAGGCTGACCTCAGGAAAATTTGGTACGCGTAGATTGAGGGGTCCAGACGTACCTGACCGAAACTAAAATGCTGACTATTATCAATATGCGTTATTTCTTTCTTAAACAATGTCAAGTCACATGTAGTTTTTAAGATACATTATGTAATTAAGTGGATGGATGAAAGAAGGGCATATTATTCTTGATACACTTTTTTATTCTCCGAAACTCTGCATTTTTAGCTCTGCTTATAGAACGGTCCAAGTGTGTTCGTTTATAGTGGAAAATTTCTGCGCCACACGTTCCGTTTCAACTGGAATACGCGAATGTAGCCTAAACAAAACTTTACTCTAATTCTTATTATCATGTTAAATCTGGGTTTTTTTTGTGATTGCTGAGTTGGTATAGGGGACTGTACATTTTTGTTACAGTCACCCTTTGTTAAAATTCTAGGTTTCTACAACACAGTTTACACATTGTATTAAGGTTATTAATGAGGAGTTAATATGTGTGGCTGTGTATTGACCTAATGTTTTGATTGGCCATTACAAGTATAAAAGACACTAATTGACATTGTATTGGACAAAGTTTCATTGAAATGATTTTCATTTCTGAACTCCAATTGATCTTGTATTTGTTTGTAGGAACAATTCACAGCTATGAGAGACTTGTACATGAAGAACGGACAGGGGTTCCTTCTGGTGTATTCCATCACAGCACAGTCAACATTTAATGACCTAGCAGACCTGAGGGAACAGATTCTTAGAGTCAAAGACACAGATGATGTAGGCAAAATATATGTATACTGTATAGAAATATGATGTGACACAAAAGTTAAAAAAACACCTCCCCAACCCCTGTTCATAATATGTGTAAGGGTTAATCTAAGTCGTTATTGTATATTTCTGATATAGTTTTGAAACAATTAATGGTCCATCTGTTAGAATTTCTTTCTACACAAAGATGTGATCTAACGTAAAATACTTGATCAGCCGTTGCTGTTTGTAAGGTAAAGAGTGTTTGGTTTGAACCAAGAAGTATAGCATAAGTATAAGCCCAACCTCATCTAGATGGACATGTTTCTAGCCTACTGTTGCCTTTTGGCCCTAATAAATGAACTGTGTCTAATGAGAACAAAATGTTGATTTATGCATTGTGAAAAGTATGAGTGCATGTCAACATAATAGAAAGGCATTCTTGTCGTTACAGGTGCCTATCATCATTGTTGGAAACAAATGTGATTTGGAGGACGAGCGAGTAGTTGGGAAGGATCAGGGTAATAACTTGGCCCGAAACTGGAGTTCAGAGTTTCTAGAAACATCAGCAAAGGCCAAAGTGAACGTGAACGAGGTAAACCTTTGTGACACACATTACATGTATATAACTAACAATCTACCTATAATTAGTATACTGCTTTATAGCTATGTTCTTGTAAGCTTTGTATTTATTTTGCAAAAAGTTGTCTTTCTGTGTAGTTTCTTAAGATATTTTGTCTTCCAATTATATTTGTTTGCTTTATGATATTTGATTGTTTTCTAATTTGCTAAGAAATGTTATCGTCTCTCATTGATTTTATATATATCAACTTCAAAAACCAGGCAAAATGTATAACCCAGTTTCTCTTGATTATAATTTACTTTTGAAATTTAGAAAACATGGACTTGTAATAAAAAAAATCAGGAATGGTGAATTTTTATATTAAAAAAAATCAGACCGATAGGTTTTAGAAAAAATCAGTATTTATTTATACAACTACATTATTTAGCTTGACACTGGAAAATGGGATTAATGATGGTGTATATGTAACCAGTTTATATAATCTGCTACTCATATCTTATAATGTAATACTGGATATCTGGATCTCACATGATTACTAATATGGTAGAGAAGACAAGTAATACTGGGTGTATGGAACTCACATATTTACTAATTTGGTTGAGATGACTTCTAAATCAATTCCTTGAATATGGCAATTGTCAAATTTTGATAGAATAGAAAACTAGAAGAATATTTGTATGATGATTCTTAACTTAGGTAGAACTGCTTTCCAGACGTTTTATAACCTTGTATAATTATTCCTCCCCTTTATAATCCTTTTTATGTTGATTCTGTTAACCTGAATGTAGAAATTCGATACCTAAAGCTGAGTAGTAGAGTTTTGGTTCTACCATATATTGTAGTCTAATTACCTGAACATGAATGCCTATATTGTATATAACGTTTATAAGAGAATTAACTGTGTAGTATCTATGTCTGAGAGCTTGTTGACATGTGTATTATGATACAGGATTCTCCCCAGAATGTACTCTCCTTTTAACCAAGCAAGTAGAAACAAAGAATGACACTTTTCCTGGAATGGTTTTAGGCAGTGTACCTGTGTATGCGATGAAAACAATTTCAGTTGCATCATTTCCTTTAATAACAAATTCATTATTCTTTTTCATTTCATTTCATTTTTTACCCTATATGAAATCTATAACAATTTGTTTTTATAAACTTATCCAAATGATTATTGAAAAAATATCAGATATCAATTTATTATAGGATGTTTTGTATACCATTAAATATATCATCACAATGTTGTTTCTGCATCAATAAAAATCATAGAAATTGAGGTATAATACACCGCCAAAAGTGTCATCTAGTCTATAGAGTTAGCATAAATACAATATAGCACACAAGTTAGCATAGAAATACAATATAGCACACAAGTTGGCATAGAAATACAATATAGCACACAAGTTGGCATAGAAATACAATATAGCACACAAGTTAGCATAGAAATACAATAATGCACACAAGTTAACAAAGAAATACAATATAGCACACACTACCAGAAGTGTCATCTAGGATAAACTATTGGCTAAAAAGCACAACATAACACAACCCACCAAAGTGTCATCTTGAATATAGTTTTAGTTTAACTTTAAAAGAACAATATAATGCAAAACACAAAAAGTATTATCTAGATTAAAGAGTGTCAGAGATAACAGGTACAATATAACAATACTACCAAATGTGTCATCCTGATGGATGGGTTAGCTTAGAAGTACAATGTATAATGTGTCATCCTGATGGAAGGGTTAGCTTAGAAGTACAATGTAAAATGTGTCATCCTGATGGAAGGGTTAGCTTAGAAGTACAATGTAAAATGTGTCATCCTGATGGAAGGGTTAGCTTAGAAGTACAATGTATAATGTGTCATCCTGATGGAAGGGTTAGCTTAGAAGT